CTCGAAAAACGATAAATTTCATCTTCGGAATCACCTAATATTAAAAAGGATGCTCGATTTTGGAATACGTAGTTTTGATCAAAGTTATAGCAAACGCGGGCGATTTTAAAGCGATTGAAAAAAAAATATCCTGTGGATAGCGTTACCCAGCTTTCATACAACCGGCGCCTGGTGGATAGCACTATCCTGCTTCGTACACCCGCCCCCTATGGTATTTTAGGATCTCTGCAGCATTCGTCTGGCTATATGCATGCTTTCACCCCTATATTTTTAACGAAATGCTCTATAAAGTACGCTGATCATTTTCATAATTTTCACAGCACATGAAGGCATTTTGTTTGCTAAGCCGTCGGCAAAGGATCATCCAAAGAAACAGAACTGAACGTCTGAGTGAGTTACTGGACTGGAAGAGTCTCGGGAAGGTATATTGATAAGGCCTAGGTTATACCTCGCATTTTAGTCGCGTCGAATGCAATTCAAACAATAGATCATGAGATGAAACACCTCATTAAGCTTCATTATCAGATCATGAGATGAAACACCTCATTAAGCTTCATTATCAGATCATGAGATGAAACACCTCATTAAGCTTCATTATCAGATCATGAGATGAAACACCTCATTAAGCTTCATTATCAGATCATAGGATGAAACACCTCATTAAGCTTCATTATCATCTCATCTATTCGACGCGACCAAAATGCAACGTTTTACCTAGGCCTAGGCAACAAGGAGGAATGTCGATTACAACTAGTCGGCAAATGTATTTATATTTTTCAGGCTGAATCTGAATGCATAAATTTTAATACTCCATGTAAAATGGTGGTCAATATTTTTGCATTCTGATTGAGTAATTGAAAATGTAAACGAATGTTCTAATACGAAATTTTCAGAATTACATGAAAGCGAGGCGAAAAGCTCTGTCAATGATCTGTCCTGAGAAATTTCCAGAGGTCCCTGAAGAGGATGAGGACGTTCGACATCAGGTTTGTTTTGCCGCTCGGCTAAACCTTCAAGTTTTTGTAGAGCTCAGTCGTTCAAATTTTGTATTAATTTTTATTCTGGTTTCCACTTTGTGGTAATTGTCGTGATTTTGTTCTAAAAGTCATTTTCACCGACCAGAAGTAGTCTGGATGTAATTTTTTTTGTATTCATGCAGTCATCTTTGTTGACTGCACGCGCATAGAAATATTCCTTCACATCTGTCGTCACCTTGGCATGCTTTTTTTACGACTAAATTGAAACCAGGCATTGAAGAACTCTTTCTTGCAAAGCCTCATTCAATTTAGCATTTAAGAAATAAAAGACAGTTTCCGTGTTTTTATACAGTTATAGAAACACGCGTGTGAGCGAGAGATACGAGAACGAGAAATAATCATTACATCGCTTCGCTTGTCAAGTTCGGCGGGAAAATTCCCGGGTTTCTAGAAACACGCTTCTCGACCAATCAACACGCGCGTACTATAAATGTTATATTTAATTTTCATTAGGATTCATTAATCTCGTGCGAAGAAGCTTGACTTTATTCCCTGTAAAATATGCGAAAGATGTTCACTTCTCTTTACTTAACCAGCGGAGTTTAACTACGCTAGATGATATAAGATACCAACAGATAGACAGTAAATTCAATTATTTTGAGTCTATTGTCTATTAAGGCTAAGTCTTCCCAGTTAGATTAGGTTCATTCTAGCCCGAAATCACACTAAATTCGTTTGTTGTGGTTTTTAATAAACTTTCACCTCATCTTCTTTTGTTATAGTATTTCAGATTTCCCCGACCAGGTTCCCAGCCTCCCTCCCCAGGTTCTTCAACTTATGGATCAGATGACGAGGAGGATGAACGCCACAGACTTTACAGTGAATAAACGACTGATTTAGAATTCTGAACCATTTAATCCAAAATATTTAATTCGGATTTCGCTCCTGTGAACAACAAAATAATGGAGTGAAATATTGTGTGTGCCATAATTTCGTACAGTAATTAACCCATGGTCTTTAATTTCGAATCAGATAATCCGACTAACTTTTGCTGTCCATGAATCAAATTAAGTAGTTTTGCTGAATCAAGCAGTCATTGCTATGAAAGTAATAACTAAAGGCCATATTACACAGTTCAGTTTTTCCTGCAACTTGCGACGCAATTCGACTTTTAAGAGATGTAAATTAGTGAAGAGTTCTCAAAATGCAAGTGCAAGAAACATCATGCAGTGTTACACTATGCAATTTTCCTTGCAACTTGCAATGCAATTATAATTTCGAGGGATGTTAATTAGTAAAGAGTGTTCGAAATGCTAAGAAAACGTTAGCAGATTGTAAAAAATGTTCGTATTTGACAACTTTAAATGCCTCAGGAGTAGAAGTGCATTGCTAGTTGCAAGGAATGTTGCATAGTGTAACACCGCCTTAACAAAGAAAAAATTTGATAGTTGCCAAATTTACATCTCTCAAAAAGAATTGCATTGCAAGTTGCAAGAAAAATTCCACCGTGTAACAGCGTCTTAAGATTGCAATATCGTCAGGTCTCGTTAGTAAATTAATAACCTTTTCCTTAGATCAGCGACAAGAATATATCGACTATATATTAGAAATTCGAAGTTATCAGTTCACAACTTAAAAATGAAATGACTCCATCTGACAAGTGTGTCTGCTGTGTTAGGGTACGCGTAATCATGGTTTATGTAGGTGTACATGCAAGGTCTGTAACACCAATGTCACCAGGGAAATTATTATCATTAAACAAAACCCACCATTCGTAAAATTCACCCCGGATCTATCACTTTGGAGAAAGCGCCAATATTTTGCTTTCAGCTCTATATTCTGACATGCTGTTTTTTGAAATTTAATAAACGGATTTTATAATGAGTATATTTGAATTTTAGTAATAACAATCGCTTGTTGTAAATAGTTTTAGTAGCTAATTTTGCAAGACTGAAATAAAATTTTAATTAAATATGTGGTACATTTCGAATTTTCCAAACCTGGAATTTTAACTTAAATTTTAAATTTTATACCGATGCAATACTAACAATGTGTGGTCTGACCACTGGTCTCAAACTCAAAGCCTGTAAAAAACTCATTCATTGTTCTAACTATCACCATCACAACCCAGTAACCTCAAATAAGACTGGAACGCTAGCTTTCTGACTTTCAATCACGAGATTCGCATGAAGCCTTTCTTGTAGGTATGCGGAAATTTCAAAGGTCAAATCAAAATTCCTGCCATTTTATCTACGAAATTCGCGTGGATACCTGAATCATACTACAAGAATATTAGAACACTGATGACCTGTACCTACAGAAAGGCCTCTTGTTCCGCCATTTTGGCTTCAAATTTTTCGCAGAGCTAGCGTTCCAGTGATCCAGTCTGTCACAACCTCGTAGCCAGGGTTGTTACCTTCACAATTCTTTAGTGCCGTTCAGTGAACTCAAATAAGACTGGAACGCTCACTCTGTCGGAAGTTTGAAGCCAAGTTTCCGGAACATGAGGCTTCATGATCCGCCATCTTGGCTTCACTCATTACTGATGAGGAAAGTCAAGAGTGAGTGTCCCAGTCCTATTTGAGTTCACTGGTGCTGTTTACATGTGTGGCGGATATAACATTATATACATACTACAAGGTGACACAATAGGTTACCGCTTGCTTGAATTTCAATAGTCTGACGATGTCTTTGGAATAAAGACGAAATATCACTGTCTCTGTCTTTAGACTGATTTATTGCTGGCAACATTATTCATATCGGAGCCGAAATTTCATCAAAGTCAAAGATGTACCTGCACATGCTGTGTACGCCTGCAAATGACAATATATAAAAGAACTACAGATGTACGTATACATATCACAAATAATTACTGTAAGGTTTAGCACCAACGTACATATCAGACTTATTGTTTTGCACCACAGTTAATGGAGAGAGGCTCCATTAAGCCAGTCTAGATCTTCATGCATGCTTCTGGTTAATGCAAAGAGTTTAATGTTCGCACTTCGCAATGCCATAGAAATCGACACGCCTGAATAGCCCTTTAACAAAATATTGCTATTATACGCTATAACTTATAGCTAATCAACATCGTTCATTAAGTAGGTATTTAATCAAAGTTATACTGGTGTGCAGATACGTGAAGTCTAAAATTGAATGAAATTAAAAAAGCTATGAAGCTAAGTGAAATACCAATTTAGTAATGAAATAAATTGATTTGCTTATATTTAGATTTCAGATCGTTGAATATGCAGCTCTACAATCTTTGTTTAATCATATGGGGTGCGTTTGAAAGCGTTCTGTACAGCATGTATATTTGGCTGGGCTCAACTTTTGGAAATACTTGAAAGTGAACGATATTTCTCGTCTTATTGTGGAACTGATGAGGCTGATGCTAACAAAACTGTATCACAATTAAAAGGCAACTCTTCAAATGGCGACAATGGCGACGAAACCTGTTCGAGACAAGACAGTCTTCTTATACTGGCATATACATTATCTGTGTTTACATATTTTGGATCGATGTTTTTCAGCGGAAAATATTTGGATATCTTTGCGTTTAGGAAGACAAGAATATTAGCATGGTAAGTAGAATGATCGAAGATTTTACTGTTGGAAATATGTAGCAGATGATAAACCTCTAGTCGATATCGGCGAATATCTGTAAGGCTTGCGTGCATAGAAATTGTTAGCGATAATTTTGTTTTCCATTTTAAGCTATACGCCTTTCGAACAACCGGCCCCGTGACGGTAAGAGTACACTGCCACGCAATTCTATTCACAACGGCAGAATCATTGATTGAAAGAAAGGAATGTTTTTAAAACATATTTATGCTTATTTAACAATCAATCGTCAAAGGCGAGGTGAATACGTCTTGGTTTTTATTCAGCGATATTCACCGAGCGTGAGGTTTAGTATAGTTACAAAGATGATTTAAAAGAAACGAATAAATGATACACGTTTCGCAATTTAACATGAATGTCTCTTCAGTTTGTGCACTGGTCTCTGCCATAGGCACAATATGACGCAATATTAAACTGGACGCACCTTTCAGAACCAAAGCGTGTATATAAGCGTAAGATCACCAAATTTGCAACGTGGATGTAACATGAATAATATCCTGACTGGTCGACTCCTCCGGAAAACGATATTATCGGTGCTTTCTACAGTCTGTGCGAGAAACCGTTTCGGCCGGAAGGTGACTTAGATGGTCAAAAGTGCATTAACCTTGAACATCTCGGCAGCTACAGTTCAATTTTTCTCGATGGAATCTGTCAAACTCCATCCTTTTGATAAGCCTTGGATGACAGCATCTCTAAAGAACTACGCCAAGGGGCACTCCACAGCGGAAATACAAATCTTTGGTACCATTATAGAGACAAAGTAAGATTCGAGATAAAGAGATGAAAGTTTTATATCGATTTAAGTCCAACATCTGAAAAAGAGCAACACTATAGTGCTGATCCTCATCCTGGTGGAAACTCGTCAAGAGACTATATCTGTTCAATATTATTAATAAAGCGCCAATTCACATGGAGTAACTTTGGCAGATTGTCAACTAGTAAACGCTTTAAACGATTTTATATCGAGGTGAATGCAGATATTCCCCCTCCGTTGTCATGTTTCACTCACTTCTTATCAATCACCATATCAATAAGTTTAACTGCATTGTTTCTAATCATGCAGTCGTTTGTCGATCTGTTTCCTACCAGTCTTAATTTTTGGAGAGATGGAATAAGTTTTATCATTTCAAATATTATTTATTGGGATTCCTGTGACTGTACTATATAACCTTGTTGCTGTTTCAAAACATTTTCTTGTCATAACGAGATGAATGACATGAACCCCAAATGATGAATGAAATATTCGTATTTTAGTAATCCGCTTCTGCTTCTTTGCGTTTAGTTTCATCTTTTTACTGGCGGGTGGAGCGATGCTCTTGTCAACATATGGTAAGCTGGTGAAAACACACTTGAAATTGTACGGACACTTTTTCCAGCTAAAGTTATGTCTAAACATTGAGATGGTGCTACTCTAGATAAGTTACCAACTGTGCAAGCTAAAAAACTAAGCAAATTTGGATTGCATGAGAACAGGAACGTCAAATAATGACGTCAGAAAGAGTTGTCAAAGACGGCGTAAGAATTGGCAAATAAATAGCGTGGCACATCCGTATTTGGTATATTTCGCGCCATTATTCGCTATTCTCACGTGGACTTTGACATTCCATTTAATAAATTACCATTTAAATATTACGATACGTGTCACATATTTTTAGACTATTTTTTTATTGCTAGATCTACATGAACTTCTCTTTCCTGGTCTTCTCCTTACTGTAATTGGTGGAGGATTTTATACATCAGTTTTAGTGAAGGTAATGTGCAGTAAAATTAAATAATCAAGACTTCAGTTTGCAGGATCACCATCGTTGCAATGACACTGTTAATAAAATATTGCATCAATTCGTTACCGAAGTTTGTCAATCAGCTACTTTAGGGAAAATTCATGATCCGAGCCATACATACAGAAATTTGGTCAACTTATGTACTGAATTTGATGCAATATTTTTAACAACACGACAATTGGTATCGTATTCGTAGGCTGCATGGGTGTTTTCGGGTTTCTTTTCGTTGTAGTGTCTCTTAAAATTAACCTTCCAATCGTCACACCGGTGTAATTGTAGTTTTTCGACCCGTGGGTATCTGCAGTTGTTATCTCGGCATTATAGACAAGGCTTTCATTTCAATGTGCGGACCTCGTTAGTTTGGACCTATGTTCGGACCTGGCGAGTTACCCTCGTGTTTGGTCAAATTAATTAAGCCGCAGGCTCCGCTGCTGCTGGTGTCCTTCCGTAAACTTCTTTAAGTCTCAGCTTTGCAAACACACTTCCTCCTTAAGCAGAAAAACCTAAGGTGCCAACAAGGTCATCAGATACACTTGCTTGATGATAGACCACATATTCTCTATGGGGTTAAGATCGGGTGAATTTGGAGGCCAAATCATCAGTGTTCGGTCCTTGAAACCCAAGGACTCTAAATATAGGGTTGTTGCTTTAGCTGAATGGGAAGCGGCGTTGTCATGCATGTAAATTAACTTTTTCAACAGCGACAGTGGGATCTCTTCCAGCCAGGGTTCAAGAACGCTTTTTAAAAACTGGCAATAAGTTTGATATGTTAGTTTAACCCCTTCTGGTACACGAATAGGACCAAACATTTCGTCCCCAATTATGCCAGCCCAAATCATTACACTTCCGCCTCCCTGCTGGCGTCTCATTCTTGTTGGACACTGTTCACCATGGATGACCCATCCTTTCGACCAACCATCATCCAGGGTTGCTCTTGCCTCGTCAGGGAACAATACACATTTCATGTCTGTCTTCATATAGTTTTTAGCCCAGTTCAACGGCAAATTTTTGTGTCTTTTCGTTAGTGGAGGCCTTTTTAGTGAACATTTGTTCTCGGCTATCTTTGCCAAAATTCTGTTTGTGTACTTTTTGAGATGTCCAGCAGGCCAGCTTCTTTAAATATTCTAACTCGTTGCTCCTGGAAGTTTTCGCAGTTTTTGCTTCAAACAACGTAAATCACGCTTTGAAAAAGACTTCATGGATCCGCGATCAGTTCTTCTTTTCCTCTTCCTCAAAGGATCTTTTAAAAATCTCTTTACTGTTACGGCGTGACGTTTGATAATCCTTGCAATATCTTCAATTGTGGTTGATTTTGCCAGCTCTTTAATAATAATTTCTTTTTCTGGGTCAGTAAGGTCTTTGCTTCGTCCCATCGTCACAACAAAATGATCAAACTAATAAAGTGGACCACCCTTTATATAAAAAACCTGCCTAATTTACGAATCACGTGATGTATGTGAATGTAAACATTGAGGCCATGTTTTCACTGGGATAATTCAATATTCCCTACTTCGTGCAGAGGAAAGAGCTTACTCGAGTAAATTTGTGAACATATTTGCATAATAACTAATATAGTGAGTCGCAGCTGTGTACATTTCAATTACAAGGCTGAAAAAAAGCCCTGTATTGTTATTTTTTGTCACTACCTCTCCACGCCTTGATTGGGTAATTTGCACACCTGCTGCCTTCCTTGGATGTGGTGGGAATTCCCCGGAATCGAACCCCACTGTTACAATATGAAACTTATACTAAGTACATTGATGTGACTTGCGGGCGCATCCAAGATGGTGTATAAAAAAGAAGTACTAGTTTGTAGTTAGTATTATTTAAAGCATGCGAGTATTGAAAGATAAACGTTTATAATAAACAAGATCTCGACTATTGTAACATGGTGGCAGCGAGATAAGATCGAAATCCACGACCACGAGGAAAAGGATAAGCATAGATATAAGAAAAGAGTAAATTATAGCGGGTAAATCATGACTACAACACCGCCAACACCGGCACCGATACAAGGAATTTCGCCGCCTGAAAAGCTTCAAACGAAGGGTAACATAGCGGAAAACTGGAAGACGTTTAAGCAAGCGTGGATGAATTATGCGATCATTACGAATCTGGACAAACAGACAGAACAGTACCGTGTTGCTTTATTCTTACATTGTATTGGGACCGAAGCTCTCAAAATTTACAATGGTATGTCATTCACGGAAGAAGAACGCGATAAGCTCAATCCTATTATGAGCAAATTTGACGAGTTTACAATTGGAGAGATTAATGAAACGTATGAGCGGTATGTATTCAATAGTAGAAACCAGGAAGATGATGAAAGTGTTGATGCATATGTCGCGACGCTACGTACATTAGCACAAACATGCAATTTTTGTGAATGTCTAAAGGACTCACTCATCCGAGACAGAATTGTGTTTGGAATAAATAATACACAAACCAGGAAAAAACTCCTTCAAGAACGAAAACTTAGTTTGAAGAAATGCATTGACCTATGTCGAAGCACTGAAGTCACGACAACACAAATGAAGATAATCTCAGACAAGGCAGCGCCAGAGGACATACACAGAGTGACAATGAGAAAGACGCAGACCGGGTATCAAAGAGACCAGCGAGATGTGATGTCACCAATAACATGCAAGTTTTGTGCAGGGAGACACCCACAACGAAAAGAAAGATGCCCAGCCTGGGGAAAGGAATGCCTAAAGTGTGGGGGAAAGAATCATTTCGCCAGGGTTTGCCGAAAAGTCGAGAGCAGAGATAATGCAAAAGTGCACCTTACAAGACAAGAAGAAAAACGTGAGTATGAAAATGATGCGGACAGTTCCGATATCGAATACCTGGGAAGTATAGCAGTCAATAATGGGAGCGTTTGCGCAGTTGGGCCATCAGATGAAGCCTACCCAAGAGAGATATATGCAGAAATGTTTCTGGGTACAAAACCTGTTCAATTTCAAGTGGATTGTGGTGCATCAATAAACATTTTACCGGAGAGTGTTCTGGGGGAGCAGGAGCTCTCTCCAACTACCAAAACACTTATCATGTGGAATAAAACCGAAGTTAAACCAACAGGAACCATAAGAGTTGCTATAAGAAACCCAAAGTCAGGAAAAAAGTTCTCCCTTGAGTTCGTCGTAGTGCGAGAAAGTCTCACGCCACTGATTGGTGCGAGGGCAGCGCAACAAATGAAGCTGATCACAATTCATAGGGATAATTTTGTAGCAGTGACAGCACCTAAACGAGATAAACCAAAGGTGAATCAGCTATTGACGGTAGAGGAGATAGTTAATCAATACCCAGAGGTGTTTCACAGTCAGCTTGGAAACCTACCTGGTACAGTGAAATTAGAAGTAGAGAAAGACGCTAGACCAGTCGTTGTACCAACTCGGCGTGTGCCGATAGCATTGAAAGAGCAATTTAAAGGTGAATTGGACAGACTCGAAGAGTTGGGAGTCATCGCTAAAGTGGATAAGCCAACACCGTGGGTGAGCAGTGTGGTAGTCGCTACAAAGAAGTCAGGTCAATTGAGGGTGTGCATTGATCCGAAGCCATTAAATGCCGCGCTTAAGCGTGAGCAATACCATTTGCCAGTGTTGGATGATCTCCTTCCGGAGTTGGCCAAAGCCAAGGTATTCTCTACAGTGGATCTCCGCGCCGGCTATTGGCATTGCGTTTTGGAGGAAGATTCGAGTTTTCTTACGACATTTGCAACACCCTACGGGAGATACAGGTGGCGAAGACTACCATTCGGACTGTCAGTTTCATCGGAAATTTTTCAGAAGAGAGTTCATCAAGTTTTGGATGGTCTAGACGGAATTCTGGACATCACCGACGATATTCTCATTTATGGAGTTGGGGCGACCGAAGAAGATGCGAATGTAGATCATGATCGAAAGCTACGTCATCTGCTAGAAAGATGTAAGAAAAATGGTGTTGCCCTCAACCCAGATAAGATGAAGCTGCGCCAAAAAGAGGTGACGTATATGGGACATCTGTTTACCAGCGGAGGCCTTAAGGTAGACCCAGGGAAGCTTGAAGCAGTGAAAGAATTACCTCGTCCAACCGATATTGAATCGGTGCAGCGACTGAATGGTTTCGTAAATTACTTGGCTAAGTTTTTGCCAAGGTTGGCTGATGTTATGGAGCCAATCTGCCGTCTGACCCGAAAAGGTGTAGAATGGAGATGGGAGGAGGAGCAAGAGAAGGCGTTCCAGGAAGTAAAGAAATTGGTCACGGAGGCCCCGGTGTTAAAGTATTACGATCCGAAGGATGAGGTGGTAATCCAATGTGACGCAAGCCAGAAGGGTTTAGGAGCGACACTGTTGCAACAAGGAAGACCAGTTGTGTATATTAGTCGTGCCCTGACGGAGACAGAGCAACGATATGCGCAAATCGAAAAAGAAATGTTGGCGATTGTGTTTTCACTTGAGAGATTAAACCAGTACGTCTTCGGAAGACATGTAAAGATTCAAAGTGATCACAAGCCATTGGAGGCTATCCTCCGAAAACCCCTGGCAAGTGCTCCGCGGCGTCTGCAGGGGATGATGATGAGGCTGCAGAAGTATGATTTCGAAGTAAGGTATCAGCAAGGAACAAGCATGTACATAGCTGATATGCTATCGCGTGCTTTCCTGCCTACAACGGAACATCCGTCTGGTGTTGAATTCGAGTGTGTCAACATGGCTAGTTTTTTGCCAATTTCAAGTGAGAAAATGAGGGACATTCAAGCAGCGACCGATGAAGACGAATCGCTACAGCTACTTAAGAAAACCATAATGGAAGGATGGCCACAAGAGAAGAAGTACCTAGCAGCACAGATCCTACCTTATTTCAGTATGCGGGATGAGCTAAGGTGCAAGATGGGCTGTTATTCAAAGGGCAGAGAGTGATCATACCGAGTAGACTGCGTCGGGATATGAAGAAGAAAAATACATGCGTCGCACCTGGGGACCGAGTCGTGTCTTCGTAGAGCGAGAGAGAGTGTGTACTGGCCAGGGATGTCGGCGGAAATTAAAGAGTTAGTGGCCTCTTGTGAAGTCTGTAGAACCTATGAAACAGCACAGCAGAAGGAAACCTTGATGCCCAATGAAATACAATCACGTCCCTGGGAGCAAGTTGGCGTGGATTTGTTCACGTTCGATAAGAAGGATTATATGATAACTGTCGACTATTTTAGTAACTTTTGGGAAATTGATAGGCTGACCAGTACCAAAAGAGTATGATAATTCTCAAGTTGAAGAATCATTTTGCGAGGTACGGCTGTCCAGAGAGAGTCATTAGCGATAATGGCCCACAGTTTTCGGCGGAAGAATTTGTAACGTTTGCCGACACATGGAATTTCGAGCATCTCACGAGCAGCCCTGGTAATAGCAAGGCGAATGGTAAAGCGGAGTCAGCGGTGAAGATGGCAAAACGGCTCATTCGTAAAGCTGTTGAGGGGGGAGCTGACCCATACCTGGCGATTTTGGATTATCGCAATACACCTACTCAGGGTATGGAGAGTAGTCCCGCACAACGTTTGCTAAACCGGAGAACTCGGACACTTCTTCCTACAACATCAAAGCTCCTGCAACCTAAGGTGATGTGCCAGGAAAAAGAGTTTAGGGACATAAAGAAACGGCAGGAGCAGCAGATCAAGTATTACAACCGCAATGCAAAGGATCTTCCGGAGTTGAGTCATGGTGACGTGGTAAGGATGAAACCATTTAGAATGGGTAAAAAGAAATGGGATAAAGCTGTCGTAACTGCCAGATTAGACGAAAGATCATATACGGTCAAAACGCCGGAAGGAAATAGTTATCGCAGAAACCGAAGTCATTTGAAGAAATCAGCGGAGATGCCGATAAAAGAAGAGGTGAGTTCGGAGGATGAGTGGAGTCAAGCAAATGAGGAGTCCACAGAGGAAGAAGTAACGCAATCCACCACCCCGTTGAAAGAAAAACCTACGGAAAGTTTATCACCCGCAAAGTCCCTCGACCGCTAGCAGCAGAGCAAGACAGCCAACGACAAGCAGCTTGTCCAGTACGAATAACAAGACCACAGCGCACCCGAAGAGCTCCAGAGTACTTAAAAGACTATGTCCGTTAGGAAGAAAGAACACAGCTGGAACCGTATATATATAAAAATTATATATACATATTTGTACATACTAAACAATTTAATTATTGTATGTATCTATGTAATTTTTGCTTTTTTTAATTTATCTGTTTTAAGTAAGTTATTTTGGTAATAGGAGCAGTCCCTTCATAAAAGGGGGATGTTACAATATATGAAACTTATACTAAGTACATTGATGTGACTTGCGGGCGCATCCAAGATGGTGTATAAAAAAGAAGTACTAGTTTGTAGTTAGTATTATTTAAAGCATGCGAGTATTGAAAGATAAACGTTTATAATAAACAAGATCTCGACTATTGTAACACCCACGTCTCCTCGTCATCTTCTGCAACCATGGTAAACCACTACCATGGCTTTTTAGGGCTTTTTCAAGTCTTTCATAGTGACCATTCGCCTAATGATCGTTTCAGAAAAAACGTGAAACACAAAGTGTAGCGAGTTATAATTCAAATTTTGTAACATATCCTCAATCTCATATTATAATTTGCTCTGTTAAATTTCAGCAAACACTCTTTCATCTTAATCATTATATAAAAATATAATTACAATTTAGTTACCATTATCATTTATAGACCAGGAGCGAGGGGAATTCGACGAAATATTACCCCCAAGGGAAGATATATTCCGAGGGCTTCTCCCGAGGGATATATCTTCCCGAGGGGGTAATATTTCGTCGAATTCCCCGAGCGGAAGGTCTATAAATTATATATTATATCAAACAACGTGTAGGCAGCGCAAAAGCTGGGTGATATGGCTTCTTTTGCCTCCATTTTACCCCGCTGCAGCGGGTATTCGACTTTTATAGCATAATATGAAAAAAATCGATGGAACTCCATGATTAATTTACTGATCACGTGGTACAAATCGAGCTTTCTGATTGGATGATTTACAGTTGAGATATAATATTATCAATTATCGCTACTCTGCATCTGGTTTAATTAATGAAAGTAATACACTCCGTTCTAGTGTTAAAACGTTGGTCGAAACGGAGTCCCATGTGAATGTAATGCTCGTGTAGTGATTACTTTCATTAATTAAACCAGAGTAGCGATAATTGCGATGGATTTTATACCTGGTCGCCGTGAACTTATCAACTTTAATTTGTTCGCCTCTAGGTTTGTGGTGTTCTTTCTCAGCGTCGTTATATGGCTATGAGTATTATAAATGGAGGAATTGATTCTTCAGCCGTTTCGTGGCTCATTTTTAAGGTATTTACACTTTAATATGCCTCAAAAAGAACTCATGAGGTGATGAAGACTTTCTGGTGTAGACCGTGTGGCAATGTGCAGCGTTTTTTCAGTCTCAAGTAATAAGAAATATTTACATCGTACGTAGGAAGGCAGTACAATTAAAAAAATATTTCCATTTAAGAGAAGAAGAGCTCGGGGGTTCCAGCCTTAATCTTAGAGGATATTTTGAAGAATTTGTGCAAGTTAAAAACGTTCGTGTGATATGATACAGTTGGATAATAAATTGTGAAATTTGAAGTCTTATTTATGTAAACATGCAGAGGGGGAGGGAGCATTTTCAACAAGTTATGCATCCTTTTCTTGAAATCCATCACTTGAAAACCTTTACTTGTTTGGGAAGATGGAAACGTTTAGTTATAGCATAACTGTATTGTTATCATTTTTATCATTGTATTGTATTGTATTTTTATCATTATCATTTTTTCTTTCATATTTTTTTCTTGCAGTTGTGTTTTAATGCTGGGGTTTCGTTCAGAACCATTACCATCGTTTACTATGCCTTTGTTTTTGGTCAAGGCATGTTGTTCACGTTTACGATATTTCCTGAAGATCTGCCGGATGACACTGAAGAAGATGTTGGAAGATATGAAAACGGCTCGAAAACTGAAAAATATATAGAACATATAAAAAGTGACAATGCTTTCACAATATCCCGTGAAGTTCAGCAAAACGACACTGAAAGTATGGAAGATAAGAAACATGATAAGATTGAAGCCTTGGAGGAAAGTCCAACTACAGGTGCGGTAGATTTTTTTGTGGTGATAAAAAGTGAAAACGAACTGAAAATGTTGTTGTAGTGAAATGTTGCTGTATGGATCAGAGTTGCTAGATTTTATGGAAAAATCAGTCAACTATTATTAACATAACATTTGTTTTCCTAGTTTAAAACAAAGGAATCAAAGGGCCGCCAATAACAATGTTTGCTTATTTTTCCAGTAACTTACCAACCCTGCATGTATGGATAAGTTTTCTTTATTTAATAAAATATTGCATCAATTTGTTACCGAAGTTTGTCAATCAACTACTTCAAGGAAAATTCATTTAATAAGATTCTCAGTCCGTTTTATGTACTGATTAAAGGTATAAAATTTTCAGCAAAACTCGATCGTTCCATTCCTATAGGTTTCATAGGGTGGAACCTCCATTCTCGGCGTTCCCTACAACATGAATTTAGATTCTTCTCACCCTTGTACTAGTAATAACAGAACTTGTCTCATCTGATGGTCGAACAAGTTGAAGTCAATTTAAAACTAAGTTTATAATGTGTAATCTTTTATAAGAGAAGCACCCAGAGCTGTACCTAGATCGAAGCTTAATTGTGGGGAGCACATTTTATGTTCATATAAATTATTCGTTTTTTGTCCGAGTAATTATTATTGGGAGCGATTGTTCCTATGGTATATAAAAATGAATATACTATAAACCCCCTATTAAGTGACTGTACGCAGCTACTACTGTATATTTTTCTGTTCTTATGTAGGCACAACAAGTCTGTTTTCCATGATCAAAAGCCCAAAGTTTATAATTCACACATGTTTTGTTTCTATCTCCGTTCTACGTTCTACCTCTATTATCGGAATGATCAACCCTTTGCTCAAACGTCTGACGGATGACGAAGGAAAAGGTGAGTGCGTACAGCAACTGTTTAAAAAGCATGGGCAATGAAAATTCAGTTTGAAAGAGCTTTTCATATTGCGATTTGTTCTGAAAAATTGACTAAAAATAGCCGACTAACCACCGATATTAATGATACGTCACCAACCTCGTACCCAGGGTTTTATTACCTACGCGCGTGGGCCAAGCGCGACATGACAAATCTGAAATAGGCCTTTTATCGTAATTTTAAAAGCTCTTTCGGGTAATAAAATTACAATTTTTATGGCCCATATCTTTAACTAATTTTGTATACGATTGATTAGAGGCATTGTTATTATAGTATAACTATTAAATAGATTAGAGTACCAAAAAGTACAATTTTAGTATTTTTCTTTTTTTCTTTATTATTATAGTCGATTTATATCTCACCATATTTGGAATAATTCAATTTTGTGGATTATTTTTGTCTTTTGCTCCTGGTTTTTTCTTGATTGGGCTCCAGCTGGAAGACATCGGGACTTTTCTGTCATTTTATCTTTCATACTCACGGGAGTGCTCTCAATTCTTGTGACCGTTGGTCTACTGATACCAGTTCTTGAATTTCAGGTAAATAAATGTATTTACAATTTCAATCAATCGCTATGACTTTACTAAATGGTACTCGTTGGAACCTGGTATAGTATTTCGCCTTTTCTTTCCAATGCAAAACCCTCTCAAAGGGTTTCTCTCTTCTTCCTCAGTAGGCTCAGCTTCTGCCTCAATTCTGCTTCTTAATTGTTGCTGCCATGAATTTTCCAAGATTGTACCATTGTTTTGTCAAAAATTCATTGCTATTAGGCCTGTAAGATCTTCAGTTGTTGTAATAATTGTTCCAAATTTCAAATTTTCGCGCTACGCACAAATATTTCAGTTGTGCGTGACAGATTTCTTTTAATGCGCAGTCGACCACAAATTAAATATCGTTTAGAAATTCTTATATGACAACGTAGCTGTGTACTTCTTCCCCGTCTCTCGTAGATGGCTGTGTGCTTGCTATTACAATTACTTCTTTTTACTTTCAGATTGTTGTATTCTTACTTTATACCGTTCTGAGATCTTTCTTATATTCGACACACGGATCATTTATAATGAAAGCGTAAGCTACCTCTTTGTTGACTAATTACCGAACTATATTATATGAGTATAAATTGCCCGATTTATTGTAAAGACAGATAATCTGTCTGGCCGAATGATCCATCCGACAAATCATTCGTCTGAGTATAAACATAAGACAAACAATCTAGACAAACTATAATGTAGACGGTAGTAAAACGAGTTTATAGTAGTTTATGTAGTAAAAAGATTGCACAAAAGCCGTTTTATGATGAATTTTTCGTCGTTCGACCCAACGCCGTATTTATACTGCCAGACGGATGATGCGTCAAGACAAACTACCCATTCAAATTCGCCTAAATAGACCAAAAATGAGGAGAATTCGTGTTGACGGATGATCCGTCGGTTTGCCTGTGTTTACACACAAACCAACTATGGGCGCTTTCCTTTATACGGAAAAAACGGCCAGACCGGTCCTGTTGTATCTCGGTACAGACAGATTACTGGTATTTTAGAGTGTTTCATGAAAGAACTCTGTATTCAAGTATATCGTTATTTACATCTGCCTATTTACATCTGCTTCAGTATTCTTAACGAAATACTCTGTTTCAATTTAAAATACGACCGGTCTGACCATTTTAGCCGCCTAATGGAAAGCGCCTTGCCCAAGTTCGTCCAGACGGATGTTCTTGGAGCCGTACCAGACGTTCTTTAGAATAATTTGGGCCGATAAAACTCTCGATAATCTCCGAGACCGGGCAATGTATTGATGGTGGCTGCATGGTAACAATGAAATTTTATACAAAATAACACGGGACTTCTGCAATGAGCACTATGCAACAATTGCTGGCTACTGGTGACGCATAAATAATTATGTAATTAATTACTGGTGACGTATAATTATATATGTCAGAGAAAATAAGTCAAACGGAAGAAGTCCATACACCATTTTTCTTCTTTCTTCACAAGTATACCAGAAGAATGTTTTTCTTTCAGATTTCCTTTATATCATGCTGGTGCCTTGTTTGGTTTAAGTCTCTTAGTTTCAGCTGTAGTTTCATTGTTTCAAATACCAATGTTTGCTTTGATGGAGGGACCATATGGCGGTGATCCAACTTGGGTAAGAAACTTTCTGTTCAAATTTTAGAACACATATTATTATCTCAAGTTGATCACTAAAGCATTTCGTGCAGCAAACTTCTATCCATAAGGCATAAGCTAACTTTTTAAGGTCGACTCAGTTTTAATACATGCTCATATAATTATTTTTAATATAACATTTATAGTATACGCGCGTACTGATTGATCAAGAAGCGTGTTTCTATTTAACAATTAGACAACAAGTCCGAGTTGTCCATAAGCGAATAGTTAACGAAGGCGAAGCGTGAGTTGACTATTCGCTCATAGACAACGAGGGCGAGTTGTCTAATTGTTTTAGTATACACCCTGTACCTAGATATATTCATTGCGAGAAAATAATCGATACACTGCAATTACACCGAAAAATAATCTAATTAATTAAATTTTATACGGTCGCGCGAGCGAATTTTTCCCAAACGTTCACCATCACGAATAGACAATGGTTGAGTAACCAATCAGAATGTAGGATTTGTAATAGACAATAGTCAGGTGTATACTAAAACTGTATATAGAAACACGGAAAATGTTTTCTATTTCTTAAATGTGTAATAACATTTCAACTGGGGACAGCAACTTCAAATTCACCAGAGAATTAAAAGTATAAGCAACACTGATAACTACAATGTCAGCCAAATACAGCCTGATGCCTGCTTATGAGTAATTACTATGAGTAATACTATAATATATTTTGATAATCCTATATAGGTGAATGTTGGTTTGTTGGTTGTTCAAATGGTAGTGATGGTTCATCCAATGTATTTATGGATTTGCGCTGAAAATGAAAAGAAGGGAAACAATCATAACACTAGTTTGACAATATCAAACCCTTTTGCAGACCCTGATAACTTTAGTCAAGCTAAAACTAAACCTTGATAATTATATTTATAATACAAATATTTATATATAGATAAATATATATAATATATATATATATAATATATATAATATATATATATATATATATAAATGAACGGTAAAAAATTAACCTTAATAACATTTTAACATTTAACGATACACATTTTGGTGTCCCTATTATGATGATTGTGAGGTGATACTTACTGAATCGACCAGTTGAAATTAGCTCGATTTATACGAGAGATGGATCATTCGTCTGAGCATATAAATACGCGACAAACCATCTAGACGAACTACGAGAATATGATTTTATTTTACCCAAAGTCGAAACAGAAAGATTTAAAAGGTATTTTTTAAATAGATGTCTTTTTAACAATTTTAGCCATATTTGATAATCTTAAATAGTAACTTTCAATAACTTTAGTCAAACTAGATATTGTATGAATTTTAATTATTTTATTCCATTCTTGTATATGTTAGTTTGAATTGTAAGGTCACCCGTCTTTTGTGGCTAGATCTTAAATTTAAAGACTTAATAATAATAATAATAATATGTCAAACGAAACGGAAGTTTGAAGCCAAGATGGCGGACACTGAAGCCTTTCTTCTATAGGTATGATCCAGGCCTCCGGAATTTTCGTAGGTAAAATGACGGCAATTTTAATTTTTCCTTTAAAATTTCTGCGCCAGAGGCCTTGATCATGCAGGAATGGCTTCATGATCCGCTATCTTAATTGGCTTCACTCATTAATGAGGGAAAGTCAGAGAGTGAGCGTTCCAGTTTTATTTGAGTTCACTGGTGACACTATGCAATTTGCCCTCATGACAAAATGCATCCCAACAGGGTGCTTTGGCATTCAAACTCCAACTATTACATTGTTATAAGTGAATTCAATAGTTTTGACGTTATTTGGGACACCCTGCAGTTTCTATACGTGACCTACGGTCATGGAATTGCCATTGTGGTGATCATTGATGACTGCAGTGTTTTGTTATTATAAAAAAATTCTTCATTGCCAAATATATTCTGAATCTGGCAAACAGAAGAAATGCATGCATAAGAACATTTTTAAAAGTGATCTTAAAGTTACCAAGGTTACTGGAGGTGAACGTCAATCATTTGAATACTCGCAATGGAAAGTTATATCAGGTTCATGCGCACGGCGGATGAACTTAATATATTTATTATATATATGTATATATATTCGTTGTTATGTAGAAAATATAGTTAGTAGAGAAAATCTTATTTGTAATAGGTTGTCAATTAATATTGTCTATAGCGAATTTGTCAACTGTCCTTTGTTTTTTGTTTTTACAATTAAACCATGCCGGCTTATCGCTATAATATATTATAATAGGCCGGTTGTTTGTTTTTGTGTGCTCACCAAAAATCGACTTTTTCTCGATTGTTACTTTTTCTGTCCTTTAACTGCTTAAGCAACTTTACGCCGAACTGGGTTTGACTGTAAAATATGCCTTTAGTTAAGTTTTGAATAAAAGTTGTTTGAAAATATTCTGACTTTTTGCGAGATTCAAAATGGTGCATTTATATATAAATTTAAGGCACGGCATGAAACAATGTGGAACACGTACTGTGTTCGTGATTAGTACGCATTCTAATGATTCTATGTCTAAGTTTTTTCTATGCGTCAGGAACTAATCGTTTATTGATAGTGTGAAGGTCCGTTCACACGATCACAAATTTCGTTGGGTCCAATTCACTTCTGAAATGTAGAAGATATAGAAGATAAGTAATAGTCTGTCATTAATAAAGCGGTACTGCCTTGTACTGTATTGTCTTAATTTGCTGCCATATATACAATGCAAGCAACAGACTATACTACAGTATAACCTCATCAGAAGTGATTTGAATCGTGTAAAGAGCCCTTTAAACCGGTTTACCACTAGACGGAATTTCTCGACCGAGCAAATTTCGTCTGATATTCTTTTCAATTGCGAGAGTTCAACGCTAGTGGATTCCCAGAGAATTCGTTATTTGAATTGCAAATTTCCAAAAAATCCGACATTCGTCAATATAAGGCCACAATAATGGCACAAGCATCGAAGACAAAGAACTATATAATAATTTAATTAAGTTGAATGGAGCTTCAAAAATGCCTGTGAAGCCTGTGAAGGCTGTGATTTATAATACAAGTGAAGGAATAACGTAGCAAAAATAACGTTGACTATAAGCAGTTACAGGAAGCTATGAAATGTTATAGATTTGGTTGTATTCACATTGCAAAATATGCAGGTCTATTACATTTGTTTGGTTACATGGGCCGTATTCGAAAGCGTTATTTCAACATCGTGTTTATTTGGATGGGCTCAACTGTTGGAAATACTTCATAGCGAACATTATTTCGCGTCTTATTGTGAAACTAATGAGGCTGATTCTAACAAAACTATTTCACAATTAAAAAACAGTAATTCTTCCATCGGCGACGATGTCAGTGACACTTGTGCAAGACAAGACAGTCTTCTTATATTGGCCTATACATTATCTGCTTTCGCAGGTTCTGTCTCAATATTTTTCGGTGGAAAGTTTTTGGATGTTTTTGGCTTTACAAAGACAAGAGTATTAACATGGTAAGTGGCACGATCGTGAATAAAGAAAATAAATTATTAGAGCCGGAGGTTAAGATTTACTTCCACTACCGGTACCGATACGAAAATACATGACGTGTTACTGTTTGCCATCGCGGAAATTTTAACGCTTTAAGATTGTGACTTCCGTAAGAAATAAAATGTTTCCCTACATCAGTCCTCCGTGAGAAAAAGGTCTGGGCTTTTTAACAAAATTGACCAGGTTAACGTACTTAACTTGCGCCAAATGGAAATCCTGAAATCAAATTTGTTACTGCATGGTATAATTATGCAATTATATACCTATATTTTATTCTACAAAATGTCCTCTGAATGAATAAAAGTTTCATTTTTTAAAGTTTTGAAATAAATAGGCATGCATGCAGGAATACATGAACAAAAATAGGTGCACAAACGCATACAGTCTGTGATGCATTGGCGGCAATGAAACTAGACATTGGCAAATTTGGAAGTTGGGGCTCTGTGAAAGCACAGGCCGCTGTAGTGACTAAATATTGACTGATTTAATTACTTTCTAAAAGTTGCAAACAATGAGTTGCCTACACACCGTTTAGCAGTATTCATACGAAACACCAATTGTTCCCTTGATTAAAATCAGCATGTTCTGTATTATAGGCAGGGACAACTATATTATTTACAGTCCTAGGACCTGGATTTTCCTCCACATCATTTGAGAGGATAGATTATTTGAACATACTACACACAATTCACTATTCATTGGCTTTTATTTAATTAACTCTTCAGACATGGCAAGTAGAATACATTTAGATAAGACATTACAGGTATAATTTGATTTCAAAGTCTGTCCTCAAGATTGTACAGACTGTTGAAGTAGTACTATTATTATATCCAGTAACGCTTTATGGAGATTGTCGATGAATTGACCCCGTGACCAAATGAAAACCCAGCCAGGTTTGGGAAATCTGGTGAACCAAGCCCAGGAGTTACGGAGCAGTTTAATCATTATTTGCATGTTCGACCAGCCATAAACGAACAGGCGATTTCAACTTGCATAGTTTCGACAGCGAAACATAATATTTATTTTCGAGGTGAATTGAAAAAAAGCCATGATTTATTCATTAGGAAGGGGACTATAAACTTCCCGCATTTGCTTTGCTTCATATCCCCTTGTTCCGCCGGCAATGATGATCGACCTAGCGCGGAGACTTTAAAAAGGATTTTTTAGTAACATATTGCATAGTGCATACGAACTTTTTTAAAAATCCCGGTAATTCCCCTCATGATAAAATAAATTATAAGATCTTCACAAAATACGCGAAAAAGTTATAAACTAAATTTGAAGCAGTAGTTTAAACTACTGCTTAAAATTAATCCGGCCCAAAATATGCACGGCCCATGGTTTTACTGATCCAAATCCAATCAAATCGCTCATTTTATAACTTTATCTTTTAAGGAGTATAACTTGTTGAACTTTGAATTGCTTCGTGATAGTTTTCCAAAACATTACACGCTGATGCTTTCTGTTGTTTTTTCAATGTATATGGGGCGTGGCAAGGGCGTTAGGGGGGAGCATAGTGCTATTATGATGTCAAACGCGGAAAGTCTGATGTTACACAAAATTTGATTCGCTCCACAAAACTATCGAGCTAATTAAATTTTTTGTATGATCAGTCTTTTCCGCGTCTGACGTCATTATGAAAAGGTCATTGGTGAGCACCACTAGTCGCGTCCTTCGCAGACACAGCTCCCTTCCCAAAATTCGTTTTCAAGATTGACCAGAGCCAGAATGGGGGCGGAACTATTTAACCCACTCGGACTGTTATCATCTTGCGTCCAATCTTAATGTAGTCTTTTTATATTATGTAATCTCTATGTAACTAATATGCGTGAACCGCAGACACGGGGACTTTAGCTCCCCCACTTCCCCACTTTTTTGTCGGCAAAAAGGGTTGAAGTAAAAGTGTTATTTTCAGGAGATTAAAATTTTGCTGCGGGGTTCTATTAGGACTTATGCCCCATTCTCGCTCGCTCCGGGCCCTGATATGTACTTGTCTGCACGCCCCTAATGAAACACAACTGATACTGATTCAGGGTAACGTGTCTAAATAAAGTTTATGTATGTATATACGTATGTAAATGTGTTAATGCTTAATCTTATTCTTCTTAAATCTTTTCAGCTTCATCTATCTACTGGCTGGTGGAACGATGTTTGTCAACGTATGGTAAGCTGGTGAAATAAAGTTCCGTTTGCACTTATATACCCCTTTTCCCCGTCACGGCATTACCGTTTGACCTAAAAGAGCACACCTCGTTCCCAGCGTCTTCTTTGTTCATGAAAAGAGCAATGGTTAATTCGTAGCAAATGTGTTCAGTTGGTTGTATTTATATTTATTGTGTATTTATTTAAAATTAAATTTTTCACTGCCTTTAACGGCGCCTGAACCTTAAATTTGTGCCTGTCTCCAGGGCTGCCGAGAGGGGAGGGGCAAGTGGGGTATTTTGCCCGGCCCTGGACTTAAGAAAGAACCTAAAATTAAAGCACATTAAAAATTGTTGGGCTCAGTGTATTATTCACACACTAGTTGAAAGTACGATGACAGTCATTTTAATTAAAGATACGTTGATATTGTTTGTAAAAAGTTTGTTTGTTAACTTTTCACATAGCTTTCAAGTACTTTATGCCACGCAGATATTTAAACCATGACGTCATAGGCCCCCAAAAAATTTGCCCCGGGTCCTCTTGACGGCCCTGCTTATTAGTCTAAGAGCGGTGCCCGTTTTGTTACTTATGATTTAGAGGAGGAATTTTAATAGTAATGTCCTGACCAGCGTGCGGTCTGCCCATCCGTTCTTCTTATAAATGTTGGGCGAACCACCCAGCTCATTTCAAATTCGCATGTACCATGTTCTTCGATATTACATCTAGTTCATATACTCATTTAAATCTATAGCGAACCTATAAACGTTGTTGCATGCATTTGACACTTGCTATAGGTAGACACAGGACCTGACAATTGCTATAGGTAGGCACAGGACCTGACAATTGCTATAGGTAGACACAGGACCTGACAATTGCTATAGGTAGACACAGGACCTGACAATTGCTATAGATAGACACAGGACCTGACAATTGCTATAGATAGACACAGGACCTGCATGACAATTGCTATAGATACACACAGGACCTGACAATTGCTATAGGTAGACACAGGACCTGACAATTGCTATAGTAGACACAGGACCTGACAATTGCTATAGGTAGACACAGGATCTGACAATTGCTATAGATACACACAGGACCTGACAATTGCTATAGGTAGACACAGGACCTGACAAGTGCTATAGGTGGACACAGGACCTGACAATTGCTATAGGTACACACAGGACCTGACAATTGCTATAGCTAGACACAGGACCTGGCAATTGCTATAGATAGACACAGGACCTGACAATTGCTATAGATACACACAGGACCTGACAATTGCTATAGGTAGACACAGGACCTGACAATTGCTATAGATACACACAAGACCTGACAATTGCTATAGGTACACACAGGACCTGACAATTGCTATAGGTAGACACAGGACCTGACAATTGCTATGGATAGACACAGGACCTGACAATTGCTATTGGTAGACACAGGACCCTGTCTAGAAGCGTAATTGGGGGAAGGGGTCTATATTCATATATTGTCTTATGCAAGCCTGCATGACTTTTTTTTCGCGTGATTGTTTTTATAGGATATATAGGCATGAATATTTCAATATATACCCCACCTTCAAATTTAGCGGTCTAGATCTAGCTAACTACGTCGCTGGAACCGTAACTAGCTATTTTATCACAAAAGTGGAATAATATATTTGGTAAAAATCTGGTAAAATCTTAGGAAATTATTGTTTGAGATACGTGTGTGTGTGGAGTTGTCACGATTAATAAGTCCTTAGAAAAAGATAGTGCAGCTATGATACTATTTGTTAATTCATCCATGCTTCATCAAAATTTCGTCACTCTCGTGTGATTCGCACTCGACCAATGAAACGCTACGAACCCAAAACTTTGACAAGTGGTATATAATAATATCTGTTAATTCATCCATGTTTCATTTTAACTTTTAAGACTAAAATATATGTTTTTAGATTTACATGAATTGCTCTTTCCTGGTTTACTTCTAACTGTAATTGGTGGAGGATTTTTTACGGTAGTTTTAGTAAAGGTATAGTGCGTTTGAATTTGTTCATGTGAAGAGAAACTACTGAATAACAGCAATTTCTAAGGAAAACCGTGTTAGCATAAGGCTATGATTTCTAATCATTTTTTATGATATTTTGGTTCATTCCAGGTTTGTGGTGTTCTTCCTCAACGACGTTTTATGGCTGTCAGTATTATAAATGGAGCAATTGATTCATCAGCAGTTGTCCTTCTTGTATTCAAGGTATTTCATCATCGTAACTGGATTAAGCCTTTTTCAGAAGGACTGGAATTCATTGTAATTGGTTGATATTGTTTGTAATGGGTGATATTAATTGTTTATTATCTTATATTATTTCTTTTATTGCAGTTGTGTTTCAACGCTGGGGTTTCGTTTAAAATCATAATCATCGTTTACTATGTCTTTGTCGTTGGTCAAGGCATGTTGTTCACGTTTACGATATTTCCTAAAGATCTGCCGGATGACATTGAAGAACATGTTAGGAAATGTGAAACAACAGCTCTACAAATGAAAATTTAGAACAGTTTACAAGTGAAAATCCCTTTATATCTCGTGAAATAGAGGAGAACGAAAAAGAACAGATGCAAGGTGGGACACTTGTTCCGGGTAGTGAACTCTGTGCATCCCCACTTAACGATCTTTCGGCGCCTCCTGGTTCTGTCACACGAAACCTTTAAATGTCGGGAAAATGGAAATCGTGTAGGAAAAATTGAGAATCACGTTTCTCACCGTGTCCTTTACACTATTAAAAGTGAGAATCCATTAGTGTAAGCGAACGGTTACTGCATGCAAGTGCATAGTTGTGCATACATGTAATCTTATGATTTTTATATTACCTCCTTCCCTCGTTTATTCCACCGTTCCTCTCTACACGCATCAAATGTTCCTGAATGGAAATACAGTTCGCGTTACAGATGTTTGGACAACTCTCCCTGGGACTGTAGCTAATGGTAGAGGGGGGTGTCGCTAGGTGCATATTCATATATTTATTAATTCTATGCCTGACTTACTTCTCAGTTTTGAAAGCAATTATTTCTATAGTATATAAACATAATCATATTTATTTGATTAACACCTCTTCCCCAAATTAGGTAATGTAGCTACCCCCCAGTAAAGCCAACAGAGATTGACGAATGGAATAGGACAGAGTGCTTGTGACTTACTAACATTTTTTTTTTATCATATGCATACAGACAAAACAAGCCTCTCCTCGATAGTCAAAAGTACCAAGTTTGTAATGCACACATGTTTTGTTTCCATCGCCCATTTACGCTGCTTTTCTGTTATTGGAATGATCAACTCCTTGTTGAAACGTTTGGCCCATGATTTTTATGAAGGTTCGTTCGTAAACCTCTATTCTCTGTTTAATTAAGCTTTTAAATAGTTTGTTAAAAGATAATCTAAATAGACGATCTTAGGATCCTATTTACACGATTTTTTATTTTTTCAGTCGATTACTATCTCACAACTTCTTGGAATTATCTTTTTGCGGATTTTCTCTCTTTTGTTCCTGGATTTCTTCTTGATTGGGCTCCAGCTGGAAGACATCGAAACTTTTCAGTTATTTTGTCTTTCATACTCACGGGATTGATTTCAATTCTTTTGACTGTTGGTCTTTTGATACCAGTTCTTGAATTTCAGGTATTGTATATCAATGATAATTGCAAACTGTCATGGTTTCTTTGTGCGATAGTAGTAACGCGAGGAAATAAATGAATGCAAAAAATATAAATGTTTAAATTTGATAGTAAAGGGTTGTTGCTGACAGCTCCTAAACTAGATGTAATAATATTCCAAAGTGCATATTTCTACTTTATCTCCTTTGCCCGCCCGATTTCAGGAAATTACAAATCTGAGATCTTAGAAGGTTAAAGATCGCATGGGCTCCAAGCCTCCGGCAGCCCCGTAGATCACTTTTGCAGGCCAGGCTCAAGAGTAACTGATTGCAGTTGTAATTCACATTCTTTTTTTAGGTTTTTAATTTTTTTCTCTACGCTCTTCTGAGATGCTTTTATATTCTACACACGGGTCATTTGTAATGAAAGAGTAAGTACCATTGAAATACTTGAGTACCTGGAAAACGATGAAAATGGCTCTGAACTTTTAAAGAACACTAATTTTTAGAGCTCAGAGAATGGATTCAAATATGAGTTGTCATAATTAATTTTGAAAAATTTTATCGGACGAAACTAAGTTTACTTTTTCTTCACTGCTTTTCTTTCAGGTTTCCTTTATATCATGCTGGTGCCTTGTTTGGTCTAAGTCTCTTAGTTTCAGCTGTGGTTTCTTTGTTTCAAATACCAATGTTTGCTTTGATGGAGGGACCGTATGGCGGTGATCCAACTTGGGTAAGAAACTTCATATCATAATTTCAAGTCTGTTGATCACGTTATAGCTTTTTGAGCAACAAATTCCAATTATACAAAGACTGTAAGGCAGATGGTATAGTTGGAATTATATCAGTGAACGAAAAGAGAGATATAAGAGAATACAAGCGGTATGGCTTACCTATTTGGTCTTCGTATCAGCTTTTAACATTTTGAGGTCAGGTCCTCCAAAGTAACAAAAAAATCAATAGCATATCCCCCTGAAACCATGCGTCCCATAATCCTCCTGTGGCTTTTACACTAAGGTAGCCACCACACTTGAGGGGGACTGGATAGCATTCAATATTTTCTCCCTTCATTCACTCATATAGTCTCAATTATACCATTAGGCTTGCACCCCTTGTGTGATTGGAATTGTATTTCATGAACACAGGTCGAAATATATGAGGATACAAGCGGTAGAATGCAAGGGGTTTTAGATGACGATTATTGAGGATGCCCCTCAAAAGGTTAAGAACATAAGAGTGTTGCCCTAACGCATATCCCTCAATCTTGGGATGAGTAGAAGTTAACGAGGAGCGAATGACGTTAGTTGTTCTAAATTGAAGACCCTCGTCAAAACAATCAGCACAAAAGGAGAGTACACTGTTTAATGATATCAAAATAGGATCAAGTTGTTTTGAAACACTCCAGCTACACCTGCGTCAAATTGATTCGTATGCTTTTTGTCCGAGTTGCCAAGATCATTAACTCTCCCTGTAGAAACAATTACGTTCAAATAACAAAAAAAATAGGTTGTTTGGATGAATCTAAGAGAACCAGTTTAAAATAGGTCGTTATTCTTACGTATACGAAATAGTTAAAAATAACCTATAGTTAACTAGTAGTTTTAACCTTCAAAATTTCCAACTTCAAAATTTCCCACCGTGACTATTAAGATCAGAATTCCCTGCAGGTGCCACGACTTGGTACGTCATTATGCCTAAGGTCTATTGGCATGTTTGGAGTTTCTTTTCTCGTTATCACTAATATCTTATAATAATTATCTATTAATATTAATTTTAACCATAGGTGAATGCTGGTTTGTTAGTTGTTCAAATGGTAGTGATGGTTCATCCAATATATTTATGGAAATGCGCCGGAACAATATCAAACCATTATCCAGATCAAGTGGATCTAAAAACTGTTAATCCATAAAAATATATTTTTATGAAATAATATACTTAGGTTCTTTAAGAGGGTTGGGGGGGATTTTTAATTGGGACCAAAATGACAGGTATATTTTTACTGGGTCCATGGTACAATAATGTATTAATTTATATAAAACACCATCATTTCACATAAATTTGCACCATCATTTCACATAAAATTATACTTAATTAGACGTACGGTAACTACTACCATGTTTTTAATCACAGATACAACTTGTGTTTCCCGCTTCTTGCAACGTCCCTGTAGCGACCAAGGCATTTCATAAACAGCTTTGCGCTCGAAAGTAATTTCCTAGGTAACCAAATTCCTTTTACATCAAAGCCCAGATGGGTAATATGTTAAAATACGCAAAAATACGCAAAAATGTTATGAAAATGAAAACTGATAAATTATGAACTTTTTACAATCTCACATGTGAAAAAAATTTCAATATATGAAATTTACTTTTCACATGTGAAGGTGAAATTTCATATGTATCAGCTTTTAATTATTCATATGTGAAACAAATTTCACATGTGAAGCTGGCATTTCATATATGAAATTTATTTTTCACATGTACAGGTGAAATTTAATGACATGAATGGTTACCATTTAAATCATTTTATTACTTAGGAAGACAAGATTTCATGAATAAATCGTTTTACTTATAGGAAAACGTAATACAAAAAAAATCAAAATTCGTATGTGACAGTAGCAATTCATATTAGGAAATTTATTTTCCACATGTGAACGTAAAATTTCATATGATATTTAAATAATTTCATATGCATGTGAAACTAAAATTTCATATATGAAATTTACTTTTCACATGTGAAAATAAACGTCATGCACAATTTAAATTATTTCATCGGAGAAGCAAAAAATTTCATGTATGAATTGTTTTTTTACATAGGAAAATTAATATTAAAAAATAAAATTCATATATTAAAGTCACTTTTCTTATGTGAAAATTTCATATATGAAGTTTTTCATTTCATATGAAATGTTATGTGAAATTTTTGTAAGGGTACAGCAGGGATATTGTAAATCTGTTCCTTACACTATGTTATTTCATCCGTCCATTAAATGTTAGACTGGTCTAAAGTTCGATTCGGCAAAATTAATCACCTTGGGCTGAGTAACGCTATCCACCGATAATTAAATATTATTATTATATACCACTTGTCAAAGTTTTGTTTTCGTAGCGTTTCATTGGTCGAGAGCGAATCACGCGAGAATGACGAAATTTTCTCGGCTTCGCCTCGTGAAATATCGACAGGTCTCGGGTCCACAAAACATAATGTTTCCTTCGTTCCCAGTAAATAAGTGTTAATTTTTTCTGATATAATTGATATTTCTTAGTGTTCCTAATTCGAGGATACTCTTTAATAATTGTTGGTTGCAAAGCTGAAATTTCATCGCTTTTCGAGCATTTTTAGAACGGTTGAAAAAATCCCTATCCGGTGGATAGCGCTATCCAGCTTTTATACAACTGGCCCCTGGAGGGCACTGTTCATAAGACTTTCGAAGAAACTTTGCAGTATTGTGATGAGGCGAAAATTCAAGCGATTCAGTCTTTCCGGAGGGTGAATTTGAAATATGTTTATAGCGATTTTTGTGCATGATTAGAAGATTAAGAGTTTTTTAATCATTTTAACTTGTCTTATTTAACAATTCTTTTGCCCGTTTGCCATGTTCATATAAAATAATCGAGGAACTATGTCATTCCTCTGAATTTTACGACATTACTCCTCGGTGGTAATGGTTTTGTTTAAACGAATTACCCTCTAGAACTCCCGATAGAGACGGGTTGACAGCCGTCTGGACGAACTTGGGCAAGCGAAAGATAGTTCGTCTTCTAGTTCGTCTATGTGCAAACACACGAATTTTTCGCATAGTTCATCTATTTAGACCAATTTGAATTGTAGTTCATCTTGACGAAACATCCTTCTGTTGGTGAGGACGGACTAAGAAAAATTCACAACCAGTTGATATACATATAAGAACAAATGCTTTTACATGATGCAAACTCCATGTCTTCAGGCATTGATCGCTTATTGATAGTGTGAGGCTCCGTTCACACGATGTTGTAGGAATATGAGTACATGAAGTATGAGTGCATGTTCAGTGTTGTAGTCTGGTACTGATTAAGCAGTACTGCACTGACTTTTGTTGACTTAATTTGCTGTGCATATACAGGGTGTATAAAAAAAACGCATTAATATTCATGAATATCCTCTTTGTTCTACAACACAAAAGACGTTTGGCCCCTGGAATGCGAGAAAGCTTGTACTGATCATATTCTAGCGGCACAATCGTCGGTAAACGAAGTCGGGTGCGTAAACTAAAGAGCTGAATTGAAAGTATTTAACGAGTAAAATTCTATTTACAATTTATTTTACAAGGTCGACAGTTAGCATTCAAGTTATCATGCACGAGAATAAAAACTCGTTGTTCGGTTGTTAGCTGCACCATTATTAGTTTAGCTGATTTAGCAGTTGAACTGTACGATTAGGATTTTAAAATATCCCAGGGGGATAAAATCTATTGAGCTTATGAACAATATGAATTTTAGAATATTAAGTGGTTGCGTTTTTTTTTTAGACACCCTGTACAAGGTAACTAAACAGACTATACTGTGCAATGACGTACCCCATCAGAAGTGATTTGCATCGTGTGACGTAGCACTAATCTTTGTCTGTTGACGAGTGAATGTGTAATTTGAATTGCAAATTTACCACAGAATTTCACATTCGTCAATAAAGCCACATGCATGAAAGAATCATATAATAATAAGTTCAATCGAGCTTTGTCAAAATGCCTGTGATTTATATAATTATAACACATGAAAGAGAAGGAATATAGTGTAGAAAAAATAACTTTAACTAAGCGGTTACAGAACGTTATGAAATGTTATAGATTTTTTTTGTTGTATTCACATTGCTGAATATGCAAGTCTATTACATTTGTTTGGTTTTATGGGCCGTATTCGAAAGCGTTATTTCAACAGCGTGTATATTTGGATGGGCTCAACTGTTGGAAATACTTCATAGCGAACGTTATTTCGCGTCTTATTGTGAAACTAATGAGGCTGATTCTAACAAAACTATTTCACAATTAAAAAATAGAACTTCTTCCATCAGTGACGATGTCAGCGACACTTGTGCAAGACAAGACAGTCTTCTTATATTGGCCTATACATTATCTGCTTTCACAAGTTTTGTTTCAATATTTCTCGGTGGAAAATTTTTGGATGTTTTTGGCTTTAGAAAAGCAAGAGTATTATCATGGTAAGTGGCATGCGATTGTTTGACGATGGGCAGTATAGAATAAGCATAATGTTTAATATAACTTATAATATTATTATCTAGTATTGCTTTATGGAGATTGCCGATCAAATGACCCCGTCACCCAATAGACACCCAGGCAGGTTCGGGAAAATGCGGTGAAGAAATTAATAATTATTGGCAAGTTCGACCATGCAGCTATAAACGAACAGGCGCTTACAACTTGCATAGTTTTCGACAGCAAAATATAATATCTTATTTTGCAGGCTGAATATGTCATATGGCTGAATGGCCATAAAAATGACTGGCATGGAAACCAGAACAATTTAACTCGAAAATACTGCTTAAAATTAATCCAAAATTTTCTCGGCTCCATGCTTTTACTGATCCAAATCCAATCAAATCCTCATAATCTTATCTTCTGAGGATTATAACTTGTTGAACTTCGAATCATACCTAATTTTAGTGTGCCGTGATAAAAGTAGAATGTGCAGTGATAAAATGAGAAATGTGCAGTGATAAATAGTATTTCTGAACAGACCTCACTCTGCCGAGGTGGATTCGTCAGTAATTGTCACCCAAAATGCTGGAAATCAAATCATAGGGACTCAAAAATACAGAAAATTTCCGTAAGAGGTCCTACACACCCCCTACAATTTCCCCTTCCTTGAATTGCCAATTTCCTTTTAGGACCATTTTTATCATGTTCCCCCTCTCCACTATTCTATTGTGATGATATGTTCCGTGATAAAAATTTCTGAAAATTAGCTATGCTTCGAAATCCTTCCTGATGGTATTCGCGGCATTACACGCTGATGCTTTCTGTTGTTCTTTGAATGCATAAGGGCGTGGTAAGGGCGTTCAGGGGGGGGGGGGCATACTGCCATACCCTTCGATGAATTCTAGAATTGGTGAGCACCACTAGTTAAGTCCTTCGCAGAACCCTGATATGTACTTGCCTGCACGCCCTTCATGAAACACAACTCGATGCTGATTCAGGTTAGCGTGTCTAAATAAAGTTTATGTATGTATAAAGGAACGTACGAATGTGAATGTGTTAGTGCTTAATCGTATTATTCTTCAATCTTTTCAGCTTCATCTATTTACTTGCTGGTGGAACGATGTTTATGTCAACATATGGTAAGCTGGTTAGATAAAGTTCCGTTTACGCTACACAGGTTTCCCTCGTACGTCATTGCCGTTTGGCTTAAAAGAGCACAACCTCGTTCTCAGGCTCTACAGCATTCATGAAAAAAGCAAAGTTTAATTAGTGGAAAATGTTTATTAAATTTAGTTGTATTTATTATGTATTTATAATAGTTGTATTATATTTATTTAATTTAAAATTACAAATTTTTCACTGCCTTTGAATCGCACGGATCCGGCATATGATAAACGTGGCCTGAACCATGAATTTATACCTGTTCCTATTTACTAGCTCAAGAGTGGTGCCTGTTTTGTTACTTATGATTCATTTAGGAAGATTTTAATTGTAGCGTCCTGACGAGTCTATCCGTTCATCTTATAAATGTTGGGCCAACTACAGCCCACCTTTGAAATTCGCACCTAAATATAAGCGAACCTATAAATGTTGTTTGCATGACCGACTGGGCATCGTTCTGGTGGCGACGCCAGTTTAAATTGATGTGGGTATAAGTGAAGCAAACATCACATAAAATATAAACTATTGCGTCACATTAAATTATTTGGGAGGAAACTGGGGTGGAAGAGCATTCAAGAAAATTGGGGGAGAGCAACTTTGCCCCCACCCCTCAATCGTATATTTATATAATTATTGTCTAATGCAAGACTGATTTCTTTTGTTCTCTTGATTGTTCTTACGATATATAAGCATGAATATATCAATATACACCTCTCCCCAATTTAGAGGTCTAATTACGTCGCTGGAAATGCAACTAGCTATTTTAAATTTTAATCCCACAAAAGTGGAACAATGCATTTTTGATGCTAATAATTTGCTAAGATTTTAGAATATTATAGTTTGAGATGCGAAGGTGTCACCATTAATAAGTCCTCAGAAAAAGATATGCAGCTACGATACTGATTTGTTAATTCATCCATACTTCAGGTTTTAAGACATAAATTTGTTTTTAGATTTACATGAATTGCTCTTTCCTGGTTTACTTCTAACTGTAATTGGTGGAGGATTTTTTATGGCAGTTTTAGTCAAGGTATATAGTGCGCAGTAAAATAAACAACTTCTCATTAATCATTATTTCAGTATATATAGTCCTTATTTATACCAATTTCAGATTGAAATCTTACATGCAGTGAATCTCACTGAAATGTACTAGTTATTAGGAACATATATAGCTTTAGAATGCTCATAGCGGATAATAGTTACCGTATTATGGCATCATAATTATAGTATTTTGTCATGCTTAATGGATAAACTATAACTATCAACCTCAATCGATCAATACTTAAAAATATTCAAAATTTAAAATATTTATCACCAAAGACAAGTAAAATGTGTAAACAATACATCTGCGAACAATATCTTTCAACTTTTTCCACTCTTACTCTTTAAAACAGCAACATTTAAAACACAATTGATTGACATAAGAGCTTGCATTGCCTACAGCACGCACATTTTTTTAAAAAATGTGACAATAATGATAATTAAGTGACGACTTAAGACCTGTTTATCCAGGTATCAGTTCTGAGAGGGTGATAATTATTTTCACCTAATATAATTACTTATTTAACCCCACGATATATCATACATGAAAGGAAAAAGCGATTAATGATTGCGAATGGCCGAAAATTGTATTTTCTTAGGCGTCTTGTGGCAAAACTCAGTCAGTAATCCCTGTCATGCAATTGATATTCCTATTTTTACAGTTTTTTTATATGCATATTTCTAAATAAGATAAAGCCTTGCGTAACATTAGCATAAGGCTATGATTTGTAATCATTTTTAATGACATCTTGGTTCATTCCAGGTTTGTGGTGTTCTTCCTCAACGACGTTATATGGCCGTCAGTATTATAAATGGAGCAATTGATTCATCAGCAGTTGTCCTCCTTGTATTCAAGGTATTTCATCATCGTAACTGGATTAAGCCTTTTTCAGAAGGACTGGAAATCATTGTAATTCTTTGATTTTGTTTGTAATGGGTGATATTAATTGTTTATCTTGTATTATGGCTTTCTTGCAGTTGTGTTTCAATGCTGGGGTTTCGTTCAGAAGCATAATCATCGTTTACTATGTCTTTGTCTTTGGTCAAGGCATTTTGTTCACGTTTACGATATTTCCTAAAGATCTGCCAGTGCCGGAAGACACTGAAGAAGATGTTAGGGAAAGCAACAGCTCTAAAAATGAAAATCCAGAACAGTTTACATGTGAAAATGCCTTTATATCTCGTGAAGTACAGGAAAACGACAAAGAACAGATTCAAGGTAGGACACTTGTTCAAGGTAGTAGTGCAACCCTGTGCACCCCCTACTTAACAATATCCGCTCCCCCTTGGTTCCGTCACACGAAGCCTTTAAATGTCGGGAAATTGAAATCGTGTCGGGGACATCGAGAATCCTGTTTCTCATCGTGTCCTTTAAACTCTTAAAAATGAGAATCAATATTCGATTCGCGAACGGTTACTGCATGCAAGTACATAGTGCATTTTATCTTATGATTTTGATATTACCTCCTTCCCTCATTTATTCCACCGTTTCTCTCCACATGAATTAAATGTTCCCGAAAGGAAATACAGCTCACGTAACTGGTGGTTGGGCAAATTGCCCCCGAATTTCCTGGGGCACTCCCTGGGACTGTAGCTACAAGCTAATGGGGGAGCGGGGTGTTGCTAGGTGCATATTTATAATTATTTATTCTATGCCTGACTTACTTCTCAGCCGGTTTTGAAAGCAATTATTTCTATAGTAAACTTAATTATATTTATTTGATTAGCATCTCTCCCCCAATTTAAGTATTGTAGCTAATCCTAGTAAACCCCAATTTAAGTATTGTAGCTAATCCTAGTAAAGCCAACAGAGATTGACGAATAGAATAAGGCAACTGCGAGTGCTTGTGACTTACTAACATTTTCTTATCTTTTTATCATATGCAAACAGACAAAACAAGCCTCTACTCGATAATCAAAAGTACCAAGTTTGTGATGCACACATCTTTTGTTTCCATCGCCAGTTTACGCTCCTTTTCTGTTATTGGAATGATCAACTCCTTGTTAAGACGTCTGGCGGATGATTTTGAGGAAGGTTCGTTCGTAAACTTCTATTGTCTGTTGAATAAAGCATTTAAATAGATTGTCAAAATATCGATAATCTAAATAAACCATCTTAGTGTTGTATTTACAAGATTTTTTTATTATTTCAGTTGATTACTATCTCACAATTCTTGGAATTATTCAATTTTGTGGAATTATTCTCTCTTTTGTTCCTGGATTTCTTCTTGATTGGGCTCCAGCTGGAAGACATCGAAACTTTTCAATTATTTTGTCTTTCATACTCACGGGATTGATTTCAATTCTTTTGACTGTTGGTCTTTTGATACCAGTTCTTGAATTTCAGGTATTGTATATCACTAATAATTGCAAACCGTCACTGTTTCTTTGTGCGACAGTAGTAACGCGAGGAAATAAATGAATGTAAAAGATATTAAATTTGATAGTAAAGGGTTGTTGCTAACAACTCCTAGACTCGATGCAATATTAGAAAGTGCATATTTCTACTTGATCTGTTTTGTGCGACCAATTTCAGGAAATTGCAAACCAGAAAGCTTAGGAGGTTAAAGATCGCATGGGCTCCGAGCCTCCGGCAGCCCCGTAGGTCACTTTTGTGCTTTTTGTTTATACGCTGCAGGCCACGTTCAAGAGTACGTAACTGATTACAATTGTAATTCTTATTCTTTTTTCTAGGTTTTCAATTTTTTTCTTTACACTCTTCTAAGATGTTTTTTATATTCTACCCACGGGTCATTTATAATGAAAGAGTAAGTACCATTGAGATTCAAGGTACCTGCAAAACAGGGAAATTCGTTCCGAGCATTAATTTTGAGAGCTCAGATCTGCCAATGAGTGGTTTTAATTTGAACTGAGGGTTTTTAAAACGCCATCTTAATTATTTTTCACTGCTTCTCTTCCAGGTTTCCTTTATATCATGCTGGTGCCTTGTTTGGTTTAAGTCTCTTAGTTTCAGCTGTGGTTTCTTTGTCTCAAATACCAATGTTTGCTTTGATGGAGGGACCGTATGGCGGTGATCCAACTTGGGTAAGAAACTTCCTGTTCAAATTTTAGTACACGTAAATAACAATAAGTCAATAATCTCGTGCTAATAGATCTTTTTGAATAGATTGGCGTTAAACGTGTTTTCCAGTAGGCGGAATTTTGCTCACCAAGTGAAAATTTTCTCCGTTTTTCTCAGATTAATTAGCATAAAAGCGCGCAGACAATGAAGAATTAGGCCTGACAATTTGACGTGGACTCGATTTAATAATATTTTATTTCTAAGGAATGCGTACCCATTTAAGGCCATTTTGCTACAAAAAAGTCGGATTTTGCACGTGCAATATTGCTCTACTCTAATAAATTCTCAGACCAGAAAAACTTGAATGCAATATTGAAAGTCCGAATGTTTCTACACATGAATACAAGAAAACGAAACTTTATATTTGAAGTATCAGTTGTTCTGCGTGACTAATTCATTTTCAGATCAATCGTTTTTATACAGTCTTTTATAATATGAATAATAATAATGAATATGCCTCCTACCTCCCCCAAATATCGATTTAGGCTACTCCACTGCCAGGGCAAAAGACGTATGCAAAAAAATACTGGCCATGGGTGAATTTTTAAAATTAATTCTGTTATCACAAAATTCTGTTACTCAATTTTTTGTAAGTTCTCGATTGAAACTTGGTTATAGTTATGAGCTCTGTTTTTCTCCCTACCATTAGGTAAATGTGGTCTGTTGGTCTTTCAAATCTTGGTGATGATTCACCCACACTGTATTTATGAGAGCACACACTGGAGATGAGGAAAATAAATACAATTATTGCACTAATTTGTCACAAACAAACAAAGAAAATGTGCGTTTGAATTCTGATAATCATTGTGATTCCGAAAATAAACTTTGACACCTTAACAGAATCTAGGTGAAGCAGGAAATATTTTTTTATTTTACGCGTATTTTACGTGTATTAAGCGCAGCGTTTCGAGCAGTGCTCTCAGAATTTAAATATCAGTTACTATGCGTGGGTGCTTGAACAAAGAATATTTGAGAAGAATCTATTAAATAATCCTCCCTCCTTTCGATAGAGTCAAGCTTTTCTAAAGCCGGTTTTGTCACCATTTTACTTTTGTTTCAGAGCTCTCAACTGCAACCATCTGGAACAAATTGCCCAAATACAAAAGAATAAAGGCGCTTCGCGCGAAAAATATCGCTAGTGGAAAACCGGCTTAAGGCCTAGGTTAAACGTCGCATTTTGTGGCGTTGAATGCAATTCAAACAATAGATAATGAGATGGATGAGATCCGTTGTTTGAATTCCATTCGATGCGACCAAAATGAGACGTTTAACCTAGGCCTAAATAAACTCCCTTATAAGTGTTCAGCAAAACAACAATCGCATTTTGATGAAACACATGCTTTGGCGAATGTGTTACAGACGGTTAAACTATATTATCATAACATTACACTCTCTAACTAGGTGAACATCTTTGATGGAAAAAAAACGAAGCATCAATAAATGAGTGCTAGTTTATTTCCTACATATGAGCATCTCTAGGAGGGAGAATCGCTAAAGTTGCCACATTTGGTCCCCTCGAAAATATATTTTTCTGACTCTGTAAGTTCGGAGTTTGTGGAGTGCTGAAGATAGAAGGATTCACAGATAGCTAATTATAATTAATTATTTATGGAGAATTTCGACACAGTGAATGCAATAAATGTGAAGAAATAACTCTTCTTATAATTGTCAGGGAAATTTTCTTATTTTTGGAGGGACAACGAAATATGAACTGGGGGGGGGGGGATTCCTGTGATAACGGAAACAAACTTTTTTCAACTTTGCGCATATGAACATATCTTGCAAGGTGAGCGAAGTTGTAACATAGTATATAATAGATCACGTGAAATGCCGATTCATCTGGGGGACTGTAGCCCCCAGTTCCTCCCCGGGCTGGCGCATCCCAAAGGTTACATCAGCGGATAATGCTGACCAAGGTCTGGATAATTCTGGGAAAAGATGGATATTTAGATCATAAATATATATTTATTAAATGATACTTATAACTAATTCATGAATGCATTATTTTTCTATCGTTTTTTTAGTTCACCAAGTTTCATAATAACTGTATATCAATAAAACTACAATTAACTAATTATATAGAGTCAAAACTACAATTAATCAACAACAATTGACCTAGAGTCACTAACTATATATATAACTATATGGAGTCAAAACTACAATTAATCAAAAGTACAATTGACATAGAGTCACTAACTGTTGTGATATTGCTATACTTTATTGAATGATATAAATGATCTCCATCTAAGTTTCTAATGCAGAATACCAAAAATATACAAGACGCCATCTTTTATACTCTTTACCCTCGGCCCAGGCCCCCACCGCATGACACGGCACATTGTCCTATGACATCCCCCTTATTACAAAACAAAATTAAAAAAAAAAAAAAAAAATTTTGTAACATAATTTAAACCTATATAAAATAACCTTTTATCCTATCATGCAAACAGTTAACTCCGACTATTATACTATACAGAACATGCATCATTGTCCAGCTTGCAATTAAAATGTTCAGTTCTTCAGACGTGCAGGTACACGTGTCATTCTTCCAGATCTAGTTGTCTGACTTCTCAGTTGAAATGAATGTCCCCTTTTGGCAACACCAACTGCTCTCTCGTTTGTTTTTTCTTCACCTACATACTTAACAGGAGTCGGCGCTGTCTCAGTAACACTAGGTGTCACAGTTTTGGTTGGCACAGGTGTTGGAATAACCATTGCAGATGCCACGGAATGGTTTGTCTTCTTTGGTGTTGTAGGTGGAGGTGGATTTGATTCTTTCTGATCATTGGTGCTGATTTCAAGGGGAATTGTCGGCAACAGACCCTGGGTCTCCTCTGCGGTGCTAATTTGCCGGGGTCGAATATGCTCCCTCGTCCTTTGGTACAGCTTGTGATTCTTCTCAACAATGTATGTTCTCGGTTCTCTTTTGGGATTAGGTCGGCCGAAAATCACTCCTGGTTCCCAGATACGCTTAAGGGTGTTCCAAACATACACGGGTTCAGCTTTTTCTAGGATTTGCTTATCATGACTGGCCCTCTTGTTATAGGACTCTGCCTGCTTCGTCTGGCGCTGTGTGTTGAACTCTTGATGGACATCGTTACTGGAATGCCTTGATTGTAAGGCAGACCTCCCACGGTAACAGCGATCTAGGTTTACGGCCGAAAAGGAGCTCGTAAGGCGATGGCAACTGACTATCGAGAGGGGTAATTCGGTACATCCACACAGCTGCATAAGGACACTGTTTAGTCTCCAACGCCTTCTTCCAGAGTGATTTACAAATGCCAACACTTTTTTCGGCCAAGCTATTGGTTTGATGGTGATATGGCGAACTAAAGGTCAAGGTTATATTGCTTCGTTTACATTTTTCCCTGAACTTCTTGCTGACAAACTGACTTCCAAAATCAACCATTATCATCGATGGTAGGCCATACTCTGCAAGAATGCTGGTGAAATGACTGGAAATCGTAGATGCGGACATGTCACTCAAAAGACGTATGACCATGAATCTTGAATAATAATCAACAACCATTAAATACTTTGCTTTGTTGAATTCAAAGATGTCTGCGCCCAACTTTTCCCAAGGTGATGCCGGCAAATCTGGTTGCATCAGTGGTAATTTCATTGGCGCTGATTGGTGTTTATTGCAGGACTCGCATCTTTTAACCATTTGGCGGATGTCGCTTGATATGCCTGGCCAAAAGACTGCTTGCCTAGCAAGAAGGAGACATTTGGTTTCACCTTGATGACCACCATGGATTGTCTTCAACACCTGGACTCGAAGTGATTCAGGGATTACTACTTTATCTCCTTTCAGGATTATACCGTCCTCCAAAACTAGATCACATCTAAAATTCCAAAAATCCCATAGCTCTTGTGGACATTGCTTTCTGTAATTGGGCCACCATTGTAAATAGTATCCTTCAAAAGAAGCATTGTTGGATCTGCCTCGATTGCTGACTTAACTTGACTTACATCAACAGGATGGAAATCATCCATCATAAAGTGAATAACATGTACTTCATTCTCGCTATCTTGGGTTGCATTCTGTTTGGGTGATGCTACTTTCTTTATACATACTCGCGACAAGGCATCAGCAACTGGAATGTCTTCTCCACGTCTATACTGGACTTTGATGTCATACTTTAAACATCTTAGCAGCATTCTCTGCAACCGAGCTGGAGCCTCCGCAATGTTCTTTTTGAAGATCTGCTCGAGTGGGGAATGGTCAGTTTCGACCAGAGTGTGTCTTCCGAGTAGATAATAGTTGAACTTCTCTAGCCCAAACATCACAGCTAGACATTCTCTTTCAATATTAGAATATTTTGCTTCAGCATCATTAAGAGACCTTGAAGCCATGGCCACTATCCTCTCATTACCACCAGAATCGACCTGTCTCAACCAAGCGCCCAAGCCTTGCTGGCTGGCGTCACACTGCAGGATTGTTCTAATGGCTGGATCAGGATCATAATACGAGACAACTTGTGCTGACTGAAGCTCTACTTTTACCGCATCAAGTGCGAGCTGATGGTGATGCTCCCAATTGAAATGTACATCTTTCTTCACCAATTCTCGAAGGGGGGCCGTTAACTTGGCAAGCTTTGTAGAGAAACGATTAAGATAAGTGATTAACCCAAGGATGGACAACAATTCTTTGGTAGAGGTTGGAGCGGTAATGTTCCTAATTGCTTCCAACTTATTTTCCGCTGGAAGAATGCCTTCCTGAGACAGTACATAACCATAGAAGTTAACGCTTGCTTGTTTAAACTGTAATTTCTCAGAGTTTAGGCTCACATTGTTCACTCGACTGGCTTCAAGCATTTTAACGAATGCCTGATCGTGCTCTTCTTGGGTACTACCAGAAATGATAATATCATCTGCTATCCCTGTGATATTGGGAATATCCCGATAAATGCCATCTAGCCTTTGTTGGAATATGTCCTGGGACACAGCTACACCAAAGGGCAGACGCTTGAACCGATATCGACCGAAGGGTGTATTGAAGGTACACAGCATGCTTGACTCGTGGTCCAGCTCAATGTGCCAATACCCTTTCTTGGTATCGATCACTGAAAAGTACTTCTTGCCATGAAATAATGGTAGAAGTTCATCGATGGTTCTACTGTAGTAGTGTTGGCGACGAATGTTCTTATTCAAGTCTTTTGGATCTAAGCAAAGCCTTACTTTCTTCCTTCCATCCGATTCTCTGATATTACAGACAATAGAATTCACCCAATCAGTAGGTTCGGTTACCTCAACGATGATATCATCTTCGATCATCTTCTCCAACTCTTGCTTATACAATGGTAGAATATGGACAGGAACAGTGCGTGGCGGATGGATTACAGGCAAGGGGTTATCAATTAACTGGATATGGTATTTCTCCCCTGGAAAGCGCCCAACTTTATCAAAACAATCTTGATAATGACTCAACACCAATGGTTTTGTCAAATTACCCTTCCGAGCTACATCTTGTACCTGGTCACTCGTGAATTCGTCAATGTTATTGACTGTAATAATGCCCAACTCTTGAGCTTGTTGACATCCTATCATGGAAGGATGGCCAGGGGCATGAACAATATTAAATTTGGCATAAGTAGATTTTTCATTGTATGCCAAATGAAGAGGTGTGGACCCATAGTTCTCAATGGTATTACCTCCATATGCTTTGAGGGTATTACCACAAGGCTGAATATCAATAGGAGACTTTAAGTTTTGTAAATCTTCAGTAGTTAATACACAGGTATCTGCACCAGTGTCTACCTTCATTTCAAGATGGGACTCACTGTTAACGACAACTTTGGAATAAATCTTATTGGGATAATTGCTTATACTGTCAATGGAATTTTCAGATGATATACAACCCAAGACCACTGTAATGGTCTCAGATTCACCGTTTGAGTCTTCGCTTTCGCTAGCACTACTTGACGATTCACCGGTTAGACTATCTTCCTCACTGTCAGCAAGGTGAATGTCCTGACCTTGATAATCTGAATTATGTATGATTTCGTTAACTTGTTTGAGTCGTTTCTTCATGCACACTCTCTGGAAATGCCCAATTTTACGACAGTAGTTACATTTTGCCTGTGCAGCAGGACAAGAAGCATTTCTACCATGGCTATTCCCACATTTAAAGCATCCCTTACGTTTAAACTTTATTTTCGGTTTGGTTATACCTGTTGCTTGAGAAAAATTGCTTCTATCTGCTTGTGTACTTGAAGGGCTTCTTTGTTGATATTTATCCTGGCCTTTTGATCTTGTTTTACTTCGAACAGAATACAATGCAGTACCAAGCTCTCCTTGACCTTGAGTAATAACTTGCATCTGAGCTCTAGTACTTTCCTCAGTTTTAGCTAGTTCATAAACTTGTTGGAAAGTAAGTGAATTCCCTTTGGCTATAGCTTCCTTTCTCACTCTGTCTGATTTTAGACCAAAAACCATAGTATCTCGAAGGGTTTCTTCCTTGAATGAGGGATGATATCCACTATCATCGACAAGTACACGGGCTTTTGTCAAAAATTCTTCCAGACACATATCACCCTGTTTAAGGCATCTCAACTGGTATCTAGACAATATATGATTACTTTGTGGTTTTGTATAAGCTTCAAACTTTTCAAATATTGGCACAAGCTTAAGATGATCGTTCTCCTCCGACCATGTCGCAGTATTATAAATTTCTAACCCTTTATCACCGACCCATAACAGAAGTAATCTTGCTTTTTTACTTTCTGACTCATCTGCTAAAGGTCCTTCAAATATAAGGTTACATTTTTGTTTGAATACCTTGAATCTTTTATGAAGGTCCCCAGGACTAACCCAGTCCATCGCAGGAGGTTTAAATCTATCCATGGCGTTATTAACGTTCAATGTGTCAATGTTTCAAGTTGATGCCAGTTGAACTTTATAATATTTATTTCATCATTTCTTCAGACAGCGTAGTCGATGTATAAACTATATTCGGAGATCATTGACAGTACATCACGTCGCCAATCGAAATCCCACACCTGACACCATGTTGTGATATTGCTATACTTTATTGAATGATATAAATGATCTCCATCTAAGTTTCTAATGCAGAATACCAAAAATATACAAGACGCCATCTTTTATACTCTTTACCCTCGGCCCAGGCCCCCACCGCATGACACGGCACATTGTCCTATGACACTAACTATATAACAATATAGAGTCAAAACAACAATTCAGTATTAACGTGCTGGTTGAAACAATAACAAGGCTTATTCTACAAAGTACATAATTATTTCAATCTATAAAGACCCTCATGAATATATTAGATAAACATACTTTTGAAAACGTTTAAAACTCGGTTTTCAAATGTGAATACAAAACTGTTGGAACCAAACAATTGTAATATTGAAGCCACGTAAGTTGTGATTCAATCAATAATAATAATAATAATTTAATTCTTCAGTGCGCATCTACAACAATTTCTCAATGCTCATTAGAGTGGTGTTACTTGATATACAATATACAATAGATAAACTAGTTGAGAATTAGCGACAGAATACGCTCAAGAAGATTGTAAAATGCTTTGCGATACATTCTCAAACGCCAGGCATAAATTATTGGGTTTGAGAAGAAGTACACGTAATTGAATGCAAATAAATACGGACTGAATTTCGAGTAAAGTTCCACGTTAATTTTACTTGCAAGCGTATTGGCATACGTGTTGTTGAATATAAATAATTGTATAGAAATAAAGTAGGGCAAACACGAGAAGATCAACACGACTAGAAGAGTGGTAACGACCATCGTTGCTTTTCTTTGCGCGATCCTTTTACTGCATGGTACTTGGGGAGGAGGAGAGACCTGTGACGAATATTCATCAACGCAACGTTTCTCCCTTTTGTGCAATGCCCATAAAATAAACAAGTGGCTAGCGATGAAGCCGATTGTGCATATTTCAATGAAAAGAAGAATATAGAACCTCGCGTAGATATGATCGTAGTGAACTGCGACACCACCGCCGATCGAGATCAACCAGGCCAAAAAAATTCCTAAAACTGTTCGACGAATGGTCAGCAACTTAGAACTGACGAGTGGAAGAAAGAGAATGACAATTCTTTCCGCCGCCATGAGAAACAATATTGCATACGAGGCACAATAAACAGTCCAAACCATAGGAAGTGCTATAGCGATCAACGTTTCGGTTACATAGCGAATATCTGAAATAGGCTGCCGCAGAACTATGAGAAAAACACCATTGAGACAATCAACGAAAGCCAGATTTGCAATGAGATAGGAAGCCCTGGAGACAAACATCTTCTTTCTGTCGCATACCATGGCAACTAGGAGAACTCCGTTGAGAAGAATAGCGAGGATGCCAAATGTGTAAGCAAGGAATTGGACAGGAATTGGATCAGACATGTTGGATTTCTAAAAATATATCATGTGATATCACGGGGTTATACGTGATATGAAGAAATTTTAGCAACTGAATCTCTATAATTATAGACCTAATTTTGTGCGTTGGCCGTTTTCACACTAGAGGCGCATAATGCGTCTTCAATATTTTTTTCTAGTATAAAAGCGGAACAAATTATCAGACGAGTAAGTCAATGAAAACACGCGCGAATAGATTAAATTAGAATTTCTGGTTTATTTTATCACTCTCTCATTTTCCAGAATTATCCGTCTATGTGCCGTCTTCACACGGACAGACGCATTATCCGTCTATACGAACTATCGTTGGTTATGCGTCTCTGACGAAAAACTGAACGTTAATCCTGTAGACGTATTATGCGTCTGAAGACGAATAACCAGAGAATTATACTGAAGACGAATAACCAGAGAATTATACTGAAGACGAATAACCAGAGAAGACGCACGCATTGTGCGTCTCTAGTGTGAAAACGGCCACTTCACGAAATGTGCATGCGCACTGTTATAACCTAAATCCTTATTCTACACGCTACTTTGAAAGAAACTTGACTTTACAACGAGTAAAATTTATACGTCGTTTAACCATCAATTGTAATTTTTTCAATTCATGCATTGAATTTTGAAACAAGAAAGTAAAATAAATATATTCCAGTTAGGCAGGGAACAATGTGGCGGCGTAGATTCTCAAACAATGTTGCTTCAAATGTGCATAAGGCTGTCTAAATTAGACAAAAACACTTCTCAAAGTTTAAACCTAGGTGCCTTCGTTAGAGCAGTTCTTAGGAGAGTTCATACTAAATCTCCTAAACGAAGTCCCGTGGACGAAACGTCGAGAAGTATGTCTATATATATTTTACGCTGTGTTATACCACATTTTAAGAATAGTTAAATATATTAATTCGCATTAAAGTAATTTGCAAAAACATTAGGTTTTCACTAAGAGAACGTTTTTCTTACTATACTCCTTGTAACTCAAAATGTACGTTAAATGAATGTCTACCTTTTAAAAGTTATCCATTCATTCTGTCTGACTCGTCCGGTTTTCATCTGGATGAGGTTGCTTCTGAGCTTTCAATTATATAGCCGCGGCTGTGAGAATGACAGTCTCGGGTCAATATACACACAGTGCAAACATGAAATGAACTTGCTATAAGTGAGAAATATTAAAACCCATCTTATTGGGCTTAATTATTCCTCAATTTTCATTGGCCAGGCATGCATTTGGGGAGAACAAAAAAAATATTGAATTATTTACTCTATACCTAAACTGTAAACGGAGACGTTTTATTAATTTCAAAAGCAATTAAGTTTTCTCTTGAACATTTATTTGTGCCTTTTTCATTCAGAATTTCTCTGTCTTTCATCTCGTAATGGATCACCGGTAACGTCGGTCCATTACTGGAAAGTGCCGTCCATTACGGGACCGCTCAAAATTCTTCTCAGCCAATCATTGAGCTCCATTTCACCGGAAGTGATGCTTGCCATATAATTAAGAATTCTCAAATGTTTGATTAAATTTGATAAACAAGGCATGCACAATGGTCAATAGTCTTACATAAGATTGTCATAGCAATAGTCAAATTTATATCATACAAGAAGAAAAAGAATAACAGTATAGAATTAATCGTTTATAATGGTTTTAAAAAACTCCAGCCTTGTGAAAGCACGTAAAATATTATGATTTTATATTTTTACTAAGCTACCGATGTGCTTCTAAACAAGCTTCACGCTTTTTGAAGAACGCTTGAAATGAAACTGAATAATTTATATATAATATATCTTGAAATGTTAAGGCCCAAGTTGATGGAAACATGCAGGTGTACCTCGCAATTTTCAAGCTCTTATTTAGTGAATTTCTTTCACTTTTTCTCGAGACACCTCTATGCATCGTATATAGCTACATATATAAGCTTCTGTAGGGGGCTTAATCGCTAAAGTCGCCAAATTTGGTGCCCTCGAAAATATATTTTTCTGACTCGGATCAGATCGTGGAGTGCAAGAAGGATTCACAGATAGGAAATTACAATTTATTTTTATGGAGAATTTCGACACAGTAAATGCAATAAATGTGGAGAAATAAGTATTCTTATAAGTGTCAGGGAAATATTCTAGCTATATTTTTGGAGGGACAAGGAAATATTAACGGGGAGGGGAGAGAATTTCCTGTTACACCGGAAACACTTTTCTCAACTTGGCGCATATATTTCGAACATATTTCGCAAGGTGAACGAAGTTGTAACCTGGTACATAATAAATCAGGTGAAATGCGATTCATCCGGGGGACTGTAGCCCCCAGTTCCTCCCCGGGCTGGCGCATCCCAAAGGTTACATCAGCGGATAATGCTGACCAAGGTCTGGATACCTCAGGGAAAAGATGGATATTTAGATGATAGATATTTATTAAATGATACTTATAACTAATTCATGAATGCATTATTTTTCTATCGTTTTTTGAGTTCACCAAGTTTCATAATAACTGTATAGCAATAAAACTACAATAAACTAATTATATAGAGTCAAAACTACAATTAATCAAAACTATAATTGACATAGAGTCACTAACTATATAACTATATAGCGTCAAAACTACAATTCAGTATTAACGTGCTGGTTGAAACAATAACAAGGCTTATTCTACAAAGTACATAAATATTTCAATCTATAAAGTCCCTCATGAGTATATTAGATAAACATACTTTTGAAAACGTTTAAAACTCGGTTTTGAAATGTGAATACAAAACTGTTGGAACCAAACAATTGTAATATTGAAGCCACGTAAGTTGTGATTCAATCAATAATAATAATAATAATAATTTAATTCTTCAGTGCGCATTTACAAAAATTTCTCAATGCTCATTAGAGTGGTGTTACTTGATATACAATATATAATAGATAAACTAGTTAAGAATTAGCGACAGAATACGCTCAAGAAGAATGTAGAATGCTTTGCGATACATTCTCAAACGCCAGGCATAAATTATTGGGTTTGAGAAGAAGTACACGTAATTGAATGCAGATGAGTAGGCACGGAATTTCGAGTAAAGTTCCACGTTAATTTTGCTTGCAAGCGTGTTGTCATACGAGTTGTTGATTACAAATAACTGTATACAGATAAAGCTGGGCAAACACGAGAGAATCAACACCACCAGAAGACTGGTAACGACCATGGTTGCTTTCCTCTGCGCGAGGCTTTCACTGCATGGTACTTGGGGAGGAGGAGTGACCTGGGACGAGTATTCATTCACGCGACGTTTCTCCCTTTTGTGCAATGCCCATAAAATAAACACGTGGCTGACAACGAAGCCGAGTGTGCATATTTCAATGAACAGACAGATATAGAACTTCGCGTAATATTGCTTGTAGTAAACTGCGACACCACCGCCGATCGAGATCAACCAGGCCACAAAAATTCCAAAAACTGTCCGATGAATGGTCAGCAACATGGAACTGACAAGTGGAAGAAGGAGAATGACAATTCTTTCCGCCGCCATGAGAAACAATATTGCATACGAGGCACAATAAGCAGTCCAGACCATAGGAAGTGTTATAGCTTTCAACGTTTTGGTTACATAACGAATATCTAAGATAGGCTGCTGCAGAACTATGAGAAAAACACCATTGAGACAATCAGCGAAAGCCAGATTTCCAATCAGATAGGAAAGTCTGGAGACAAACATCTTCTTTCTGTCGCATACCAATCGCAACTAGGAGAACTCCGTTGAGAAGAATAGCGAGGATGCCAAATATGTAAGCAAGGAATTGGGAAGGAATTGGGACAGACATGTTGGATTTCTAAAAGGATTTCATGTTATATCACGGAGTTAATCATGATATGAAGAATTATTAGCAACTGAATCTCTACAGACTTAATTTTAATCATTCACCGCGAAATGCGCATGCGAGCTGTTGTTACAATACCAAAATCCTTATTCTATTATATGCTACTTTGGCGGAAACCTGACTTAGTAACTGCATTTGAATAAATTGTAAATTTTCGATTCATGCATAGCAAACGGAATTATGAAATAAGAAAGTAAAATAAATATAAATCCACTGTATAACCAGGGAGCAGCGTGGCAGCCTCTTCAAACAACTTCGCTTCAAATGTGGTAACAACTGCCTAAAATAAACAAACTGAATATCAGTTCCACGTTTCGACCTAAGGGCCTTCGTCAGGAGTTGGTTTGCAGGAGTGTTCATACCAATTCTCCTGACGAAGCCCTTGGATTGGAAGGCGAAACGTCGAGAAGTGTGTCGCTATCTGTTTTGTTATACCACATTTGAAGCAAAGTTAAAATAAATATATTAATTCGTATTAAAGTAATTTACAAAAACATTGGGTTTTCACTAAAAAACATTTTTCCTACTTTTAGTTTACTACTAAACCTTGCAACTCAAAATGTTAAATTTCTACCTTTTAAAAGTTATTATCCATTCGTTTTCTTTGACGCGTTCGGTGTTCATCTGGATGAGGTTGCTTCTGAACTATTCAATTATATAGCTGCATGCGGCTGAAGTATGCATGACAGGCAGGTGTCTTTGGTGAGCTATAGTCTCGGGTCAATATACACACAGTGCAAACATGAAATGAACTTGCTAAGTGAGAAATATTAAAACCCACCTTATTCTTAATTATTCCTCAATTTTCACGACACAAAAGTTCACTAAATTAATGATGATAATAAATTAAGATATAAAAACTTTTACTGGTTTCACATTGATAACATTGTCTGTTTGAGTAAAATTTGCCGCGAATCTCCCAGGAAGGATAAAATTTACTAAAGTTAGGGCATAAAAGGAATATTTATGAATAACTATAGAAATTTCAAATGTTTGATTATATTTCGTAAACACTGAAGACTTGCACAAAGGTCAATAGTTTTAATTAAGATTGTCACGGGCAATAGTCAAATTTATATTATACAGGGTGTCCCAAAAAGGTTGTCTCCGTTGAAATTAGAATCTGACTGCCGTTATATTATGATATACCCATGCAATAGACCACTTGCCTTTTAGCGCAGCCCGCTTTGCATGACGGTAGGAGTCGTCACTTTGAACGAACGACATGGCGACTGTAATGAGCGAACGATTATTATTTGATGAGATATTTACCAATATTTAGTGCTTCTTGTTTACAATCGATGAGTTATTTAATCCTAAAATAAACATAGAGGTCTCAAACGAAGCGGAGGTAAATTTTTGAGCGAAATCGGTCCATTCTAAACGAGGAAAAAGGAATTCGAGTGAGGCATCAACAAGACGTTCTTCGCATATTTATGCCTTGAAATATCTCATTCTCCAAAGAAAAACAGGTGAGTTCACCAAATAACCGGCGATCACCCAAGAATTTTTACTTACGAATAAGCTTTGACATTTTCCCTTTCCCGATTTTGTATTTTGGGCCCTGCTTTCTAATTCGTATTGCTTTTTAAACTCCGTGAAAATGACCATGCTTGGCAAAATATTTGACCGATTTCGCCTTTATATTGTTCAAACACAGACTAAATGTTTTGGTGGGAAATTTGCAATGTTTGAATACTTAATTACTTTTTTGCCGATGTTGAAAACTACGAACAAAAACTACAAATAAGTGCTGTTTGACCTAGGCAAACTTTTCGAAAATTATATAAATAAAAAGAATATAGTATTTTGAAACAATAATGGAGGATGAACCAACCACTTCAGAAGGGAACAATGAAAGCAAAGTACGCCAATGGAAAACATACTGTTGTGTGCCAGGATGCAGTAATAATAGTTATAAAAATCCTGAGCTCTCTTTTCACAAAATTCCAAAAGATAAAGATGTTAACAAAAAATGGAACAATTACTCAAGGATTACTCAACCCTCTTCCTAGTCAAAAGGTGTATTCAGCTCATTTCCCAGGTGGCAAAAAAAAAAATATAGTGACAACATCCCCACCATTTTCATGCCACAAACTGCTACAAAGTCAAGGAAGATTCCTGCTGTCAGAGTGTTTGAAACAGCACAAGACAAGGAGCATGTATCTCCTAGTAAAACCTCAGTTCAGGAGCAAATGTTACCTGAAGAAAGATGCATGGATATAGAAGCTCAAAACAAAATGAAACACTTACAGGAAAATGTCAAAGCCCTACAAGCGCATAGTGTAACCTTGCAAAAGAAATATGACGAGGATGTAAAAAAAATGGGACAGTGTTTATTTCGCATTGAAAGGTTTATTGGTAGTGACATTGATTTTCGATTTTATACTGGGTTTCCTAACTACACAATTTTTAAAGCATTTTTTGATTACCTGTCTCCCGCATACAACCACCTTATTTATCATGGGTCAAACACTGCACCTATATTATCAGAAGGTCAAGCCAAGTGTGGTTTCAATTTCCTGTTCCTGTATTCTTGTTTAAACCCTGTCATTCCTACAACAGCGCCTTCGGGCTCTACCTATTTGGCCAAGTCGCCAGTTTGTTGATGACAACATGCTATTTGTGTCTTTCTCGTATGATGTCTTAACAAATTTTATATCCTCATAGAGGACTGCTTCATCACACTCATCCTTGCGAGGAACATGCCATTGTTGCAGCATTTGTGTGCATGTAAGATCATTTGGAATTTCAGACAAGTCTAATTGCTTGTATTCAATTACTTGAAACATTAGGGCTACAATATGTTTACATTGCCCCCCTTTGCCAGCCTTGCATATGCAGTTACCGTATAAAATTTCCCCAGTGTCCTGATTCAGATGAACATACACAGTGTAGACATTTTTTTTCATAGCAGCATTCACACTTGCTTTGATTAGAAAACAGCATAACTGGTCTTTAAATACATTTGCTTTTACTTCTACATTTTTGACATATTTTTCCTTGAACAATCCATATCCCAATTTCTTGTGTTTGTAAGCTCTACCTGGGTTATTTTCCACACTTAACTCAGTTCCTAAGTGCTTTTTTAAAAGTTCAAATGTAAATTCAGGAAGGAACTCTAAGTTCTTTGTCCACCTTTTCAGTGGTTTTTCTGTTGTTCCCTTCTGAAGTGGTTGGTTCATCCTCCATTATTGTTTCAAAATACTATATTCTTTTTATTTATATAATTTTCGAAAAGTTTGCCTAGGTCAAACAGCACTTATTTGTAGTTTTTGTTCGTAGTTTTCAACATCGGCAAAAAAGTAATTAAGTATTCAAACATTGCAAATTTTCCGCCAAAACATTTAGTCTGTGTTTGAACAATATAAAGGCGAAATCGGTCAAATGTTTTGCCAAGCATGGTCATTTTCACGGAGTTTAAAAAGCAATACGAATTAGAAAGCAGGGCGCAAAATACAAAATCGGGAAAGGGAAAATGTCAAAGCTTATTCGTAAGTAAAAATTCTTGGGTGATCGCCGGTTATTTGGTGAACTCACCTGTTTTTCTTTGGAGAATGAGATATTTCAAGGCATAAATATGCGAAGAACGTCTTGTTGATGCCTCACTCGAACTCCTTTTTCCTCGTTTAGAATGGACCGATTTCGCTCAAAAATTTACCTCCGCTTCGTTTGAGACCTCTATGTTTATTTTAGGATTAAATAACTCATCGATTGTAAACAAGAAGCACTAAATATTGGTAAATATCTCATCAAATAATAATCGTTCGCTCATTATAGTCGCCATGTCGTTCGATTGCAAAGTGACGACTCCTACCGTCATGCAAAGCGGGCTGCGCTAAAAGGCAAGTGGTCTATTGAAGGCGGCAAGACGCTTTATTTGAATGCCTATGCAATTTACACACAATGCGTTGATCATGCATTCAAATTCCAACAAAAGCCTAATTTCAATATGGGGGACTATTATTGGGGGACTCCTTGTACATAAAGAAAAAGAATAACACTAGAAATAAACGATTAAATGATTTTAAAAACACCAGCCTTATGAAAGCATGTAAAATGTCTTGATTTTATATTTTAGCAAGCTACCGATGTGCTTTAAACAAGCTTCACGCTTTTTAAAGAACGCTTGATATGAAACTGAATATATGTAATTACTTGAAATATTAGGGCGCAAGTTGATAGAAACAGGTGCATTTCGCACTTTTCAAGCTCGCATTTAGTGAATTTCTTTCACTTTTTCTCGAGACACCTCTATCAGAGTAGTCACACGACTTACTTCATTACGCTATACTGTTTTATGGGACGCGTGGCACGCGAGCCTCACCCCTTTCCTCGGAAAAAAAAACATTATCCCGTAAATTTTTGTTTTGGGAGTGAAATCGCCTTTAAGTTTTGGCTCTGCATGAATTCCCCTCTCCCTTCTCTCTATACTTTTATATGCGCTTCGCGGTACCTTTTTAATTCATCGGCACAAACATTTATCACAAATGAGCCGCCAGAACAATGAATCTTGGTGCTTTTAGAGACCCGTCGAGTTTCGTTCAAGAGGCACTGTCAATTAAACGCAAACGTTTTCGAAAGGCGAATTTTAGCAATATAGCCGCGCATATCAACGTTTTGTAGTTTTCCGCCAGATAACAATGATGTGACTTGCGGTAATGAACTGCGCACACTTTTGTCGGCCAACACGCACTTGACATGCACATTTGTTATCAACGCCATTAAATCAGACATCACAGAATTGGGTCTTCATATAAACTCTCCGTCTAAAGTCTTATCACCGGTTTTTGTGATGTTACCGCAAAAAATTACATTGAGTAGCCGGTCAACGTAGAACGTAAGTTCAAATTCTCTTATGAAAACGCCGTATTTACAGTCTTTTTAAAAGTATTATTTTTATCATTCACAGCTGGCGGCTGTAAAATTTTGAAGCCTCAGTATACACAAGGTTATTAATTTTTGCCGCATGAAAGCCTCGAATCAGTTTTAGTGCAAAATATTTTTTTTTGAGATTTTACAATTCTTTTTACGCAAATTTGCAGGCTAATCATTAAAAATTGCCCTAAAAGTCTGTATAAATCCAAACCATGTAATTCAAGCAATGCCTAAGACGCATATGTCCAATACTCAGAATTTTTTACAGCTGTTGTAAGGTACATAAACTGATAAATTACAAGACCTCTACTGATCATTAGTCTCCTCTAACACCACCAATTTTCTTCTAACACCCCAAAAAAGCTCCATTTCAACCGAATTTTTGACAATCATCTTTTGAAATTCTAGGCACGTTTGCATGTTAGAGGTTGAGAAAATTTCCCACAATTTGGCGATTTACTATAACAATATGATTATAGCTTTTTTGTCTGATTTAAACTCGATCGAAGGATTCTGTTCTTTTTAGATTATGAGATATCTCTTGTATGTTTTGTCAGTTTTGCGATTTATATTCGTGCAAGATACCCGTCGCATTTCTTAATAACGTTCATTTCTTTTGTCAATTTCTTTTGTGCTATTGATATTAATTACCCCTGCACGGGTTCATATAATTGATTTTTATTACCTATTTTTAAAGTGTTGTTTGTTTCCTGTCACTACGCAGTTAGCGTTGTCAAATATACAGGAAAATT